TGTTGCTATTAAAGAGATAAGACCCAAGCTCCTTCCAAATCAGGGCACAGACCTCAATCTCAGAGTCAGATCCACATACCTAAATGCATTTGAGCATTACCAAATGACTGGTCAGGAATGTACACACGCCCATACATGTGGAGGCCAACCTCAGCTGGTGTTTCTTGGGAGCCATCCGCATTGTTCTTTGCAACAGGGCTTCTCACTGCACTAGAGCTTGCCAATTATCGCAGAATGGCTGCCAGCAAGCCCAAAGCATCTGATTGTCTCTGCCTCCCCAGAACCATAGCCTGGCGTTTTCTGCGGGTTTGGAGGATGGAATTCAGGTCGCCTCCATGCTTGTAAGGCAAGCACTTTACAGGATTAGACATTTTCCCAGCACCGCCCCAACCTCCTGGCCCTTTGTTTTGAAAATATGTGTGTGGGTCTTTATGTGGCGAGAGGATAGCCCTTGAGCCGGACAGGTGGGCAGAGGTGGGTGCTGGGAACCACACGAGGGTCCTTGCAAGAGTGGCAAGTAAAGCCGGGCAGTGGTGGCGCACGCCTTTAATCCCAGCACTCGGGAGGCAGAGGCAGGCGGATCTCTGGGAGTTCGAGACCAGCCTGGTCTACAAGAGCTAGTTCCAGGACAGGCTGCTCCAAAACCACAGAGAAACCCTATCTCGAAAAACCAAAAAAAAAAAAAAAAAAAAAAAAAAGAGTGGCAAGTAAGTAAGTGCTTTCAACTGCTGGGCTCCTCTCCAGCCTCTTTGCTTTGGAGGATCTATATGGATTTGGGTTTTGACAAAGGAACTCTTTTTTTTTTTTAGTTTCTTTTCTTTTCTTTATTTATTCATTTATTAATTAAAGATTTCTGTCTCTTCCCCGCCACAGCCTCCCATTTCCCTCCCCCTCCCCCAATCAAGTCCCCCTCCCTCATCAGCCCAAAGAGCAATCAGGGTTCCCTGCCCTGTGGGAAGTCCAAGGACCACCCACCTCCATCCAGGTCTAGTAAGGTGAGCATCTAAACTGCCTAGGCTCCCCCAAAGCCAGTACGTGCAGGACAAAGGAACTCTTTATTCAGCCAACAAATATCTGAATCCTTTATGGAGAGAACATCATCAATAAAGTGTTACGGGAAAATACCCTGCCCTACGGAGCTTAGGAAGACAGAAGCAAATCCCTGTTTTAGTTTGTTAGGTGGCAAACAGGCGGTTCTTAACATATAAAATGTGAGCTGATAACAGAGGAGAATCAAGACAATGAGTACAATCCCCCATCACTATATTCACGGTGCCACACAAAGTTCCCAATGTTTTCCAGGACAATGTACAAACGTATCACAAGTTCCTTGCTGATCATTGTACTTCCAACATAAGTTTTAAATCACACAAAACAAAACCTTAATATGTTTATCAGAAGAGGCCAAGATGTATGTAAACTACATAACAGAGGGTATAACATTGCTTGTACCTACAGTCAAGTTCAAACATAGAACAAAACACCTGCAGTTAGGTGTGTACTTAAGCAGTCTACACAAATAAGAGTTCATGGCTTAATTTAGAATTTTTTTTTTAGTATTTTATTAGTGCACAGGGTTGCACTAATTTACAATCCCACCAGTAATATTGAATTTTATTTACTTGTTCTTTCTCTGCATCCTTGCCAGCACAGCGGGATTCTGTTCAATCACGAAATACTGTCATCTGCAACAGCATGTACAGGCTAAAGCGCATGGCAGAGGAAATACGTCAGCTATATAATAGAGACACGGCTCCATCTCATGGATGCAGGAAATCATCCAAGCAACTCAATGAAGACCTCACGGGTGATATCAGAAACTGACAGGAGTTGTAATAAATTCCAGTGCTCTGCCACACAGCAGGCTGAAATAACAATAACGTACTAATATCAGAGAGGGCCTCAAAAGTAGTCACCACAAATAAGTTTAAAGTGAGGTATGGTACGTAATTACCATGAGTTGGTCACTATCAGATATAGACATGAATCCAAACACCACACTGTGCTTCATAAATATGCACAAATTTTACGCCAATTAAAAAGGAGGGTAGAACTGGGGAGATGGCTCCATGGTTAAGAGCACCGACTGCTCTCCCGAGGATGTATGTTCAACACCCAGCACTCACAGGGCAACTCACAACTGCCTGTAACTCTAGTTCTAGGGATCTAATGCCCACTTCTGGCCTCCACGGGCACAAGGCATGCTCAACATGCACATGCATACCTATAGGCAATACACAGAAAATAAAAGAAGAAAATCTAAGAAAGGGCAAGAGGAAAGGAACGGAAGGAAGCTTGCATGTTTGAGTTGGGAGCAAGTCTGGCTCCTTCTGAGATGCATCAGGAAGCTGAGCAGGTAGTTTCAATGAAGAACAGCTTCCACTTAAGTGGACTGAGATTAAACGCTGCTTTAGCTGAATCTGTGTGCTTTGAAAGTACGTAAACAGCAACTGGCAGAGCCCAACTCTACCGCTGTTGGCTCCGTGAGATGACGCGGCTATTAAAGAGTACTTGCATATCATACATGGGGTCAGCTTCATGCTCATTTTAACTTGTATCCGGGGGCCAAGGATCCTCAGTAACCGACAAGCGGAACATGACCACTGGCTTCTCGGTCAGCAGATACTATCTAGTGAACGGACAGCACCGTGACGTAGCAGCTGGACACTGGGGTGGGGGGAGTTCACAAGCAACTGTCAGAACATACACGTGACCACTGGGTTTCCTTTCTCTAAAATGTGCACTGGAAGGATTTTATCAATAGGATTCTCTGAAGTGTATGGGGAACAGCTGAAACCATTCAAAACAGTGCCCATCCTTTGAAAACTATTTTCCTCCACGAGACTACCTCTCAGTTAACATTACTTTAACGTCTTCATCCTGGCATATGCAAGTGACACAACAGACTCATTAAGATGGCTCCCTACACTATAGTAAAATCTGCTGGCTGCTATTTTACCAGCCAGAAGGTCCTACATTTGGTATTATTCCTTTGAAGTCTTTCATTACATAGGACCAATGTAAAACAAAATTGGAGCGTTTGACTTTCAGAAGGAGCAGAAGGCACACTGTCAAGGCCACAGGCCTGGCCGCTTTTCTTTCTTTCTTTCCCATTATCATCCAAGTTACTCAGCAAATAAACCGCCACTGAAACCTCTCTAGCTCTAATTCAATTGTTTACACGTGAAAACGTACTTGCCTGGTCGCACTCAGACAGGAGACAGGTAGACGTCGGTGTTAGTATTCCAGCACACTGCATGGAAAAGCACAAGATGCTTTCTCTAACTCCTGAGTGACACCCAAGTTTGCTTTCTGTGGACTTTCTCTTCTTTAATGAAAGCAAGCTTTCTCACTTGGGGAAGGTGGAGCTTTATAATGTCACCTTTAATTTAATGATGCTGGTATGTAAATATCTACCTATTTTATTTATTTTTTTTTGGGGGGGGGGCGGGTTTCGAGACAGGGTTTCTCTGTAGCTTTGGTGCCGGTCCCGGAACTAGTTCTTGTAGACCAGGCTGGCCTCGAACTCCCAGAGATCCGCCTGCCTCTGCCTCTGCCTCCCAAGTGCTGGGATTAAAGGCGTGCGCCACCACCGCCCAGCCTACCTATTTTTTTAAAGTATTCTTTTTTAGGTGATTGGGAACCTGGAACACTAAAGCTCTGGCACATGGGTTGACATCACCATCTCTAGCATCCTGAGTGCTGTTTAAGGGACGTCTTGCTGGCAGCTCTACATCACTAGGCTACTTCGCTTTCTGGAGTGTACAGCGTAAGTCGATGTGGAGTTAGTGTCTGGGTCGTTCGGTAAGTAAGCTGAGTGGCTGGAACCGACTACAGAAAGGAGAATTTCCTGTGAGGACACTAGCAGACTTTCTCACAAAAGTCACCAGACCATCATTCAAGCTCAACTACAGCGGCCACGACCTTTAATCTAGAATCAACTCAAGACAAGACTGCGTGAGCTTCAAGTAAGTTGTTCTCTTTTGGCGGAGTTGTGTTGTTAAGGCTCTGAAGTTTTAAAGACACAGTTTGGTGACAGTGCTGGACTAGTACACAAGACACTCTGGCTTGGGTTTGATGCCCAGCACTAAAAAACATATAATAAATACCACCACTACCACCATCACCCCCCAAAATCTATCCCTGAAAAATAAGGATTCAGAATTTTCAGAGCTTCATGCAGTGTTGCTTTTCCGAATTGCGGGTCCTAGCACATGAAAACCGAGTTTACAAACAGATGTTTCATTGGCATTAAAAGGAAAACCAGACTCCCAGGTGCTCCTGAGAATACCTTAAGTCCCAGCCAGAGGTGGCGTCTCTCAAAATCTCAGTGGTCTTGGGAAACCCAATGCATCTCATACTATTACTCCGACCCCAGGCTGACCTAGAGAACTCAGCAATTCACCAGTAATTCTGAGTGCTCTTGACCTTCCAAGGTAAATTATTCCAAAGTGACTCCAGCAAAGGCATGTTTCAGCTCCCATTTAAAAAGACAAATGGGAATTTCTGACAACACTGGAAAATACATTCCTCATTACCAGGCCAACATATACAAAGAAGAGTGGACATACTGGAGGGTGCCAAAGAGGTCTCTTTTAGATTCCATACTGTATTGTGGTTTGACATCATACGTCCTGGGAATGGTGACTTGTGGGTCCAAGGATGTAGAATATATTTGGTTGGTAAGTAGCCCAACAAAGGGGGAAAGAATATTAAAAGTGGCGCTGAATTGGTCTCACGAGGCATCTGAATTGTTCTGGCTTTCCTCAGGCCCAAAGTCTTCATAATAAGCATTTCCGCCTTCCTCAGTCTGCAGCCGCTAGGGTTTGTTACTTTGCACTTGTATGTACTGTGTCTTATACTCTAGGCTCTCTGCATCCCTCTGTTAGCCCACTAGCAAAGACCTGAGACATTAGAACATGTCAGTTGGTTCACTGCAAAGTGATGACTAGGTTCCAAAGTTGACAAGCAGTCCAATTCAAGACACACCTATGAGCACATTAACTATTTTGTACACTTTATTTAAAAACAAATAATACACTTAGAGCCACCAAAACTGGATATCATTATTAGCTTATCCATACCCTGAATTTACAAAAGGAACTTCTTGCACCACAAAAATTAGCATTTGGATTTACATTAATTGATATTATAAACTAAAATTTAAGACACCTGAATATCAAACAATCTGGCCCAGGGATCACCAGTTGGGGGTTTGGGGTATGGAGATAAAGGGTTATTTAGGGTTCTGAACTGATGACACCCTGAGGTTCACTCCAGTAAACCGATACTGAGAAGACATAAAGGAAGTGGTAGATTTTTAGTATTACAAAGAAGTGGTTCTTCCTAAAAACAGGCATTGGATCATATAGTTGGGGCGGGATAGGGTTACTCCTTAATCTGGAATGGGAAAAAAAAAAAAGTGTGGAGGGGGCTATATTAGTTTTCTCACAAGAGGCCGACATCAGCCAATGAAGAGGAAGCAGGAAGAGTGGGACATGGCAGACCAAAGACTTCCTAATACTGTGTTGCCAACTCAGCAGCACTCCACAAGTCACTCCAAACCCAGTCTCTGAGACCCTTTCAGAAAGAGCTAACGTGCAACAGGGAAAATCATTCTACATTAACAAGGCACTCACTGGTTCACAGCCTGGAAACAACCCAGGCAGACATTAAAGTTAATTTAAATTAACATGAACTTTCTAATTTGCACCAGAGGGGTGATGAACATGTGGTCCCAGTTAAGTGAAAGCTAAAGCTTGACTAGTCAAGATCCAGAAAAACTCCTCAGCACCACTTCAGAGACATTGTTAGAATACATAATGGGATCTAAAGATCTCTTTTGGTCTAACATAAAACTTTTCGAAATTAAACACCTAACAACAAAACTGATGTAAAGGTTCTGTTAAATACTTGTTCAATGTGGAGTCCTTCCCACTGACACGGAGACCTAGACACATGCTTGATAAGGACAATTACAAAGCTTCCAGTGGCAAAGGCAAAACTGATTCAAATCATTTACCTGCTAAACAGAAATATTCATTTTCTGACTTTAGGAAATGATGCATTACACACACACATACACACACGCACACACGCATACAATGAACTTCATCAGATATTACTTTTGTATGACCAGAATCCCAGTGTCAAACACTCTGAGCACTGTAATATAAACCAACAGGTAACACCATCATGGAGGCAACTTCTAAGCCAGTAAAGTGAGTAATTATATACCTAAGAGTGTGGTAATAACTTTCAAAGAATAAAGTAAGCCAAATAAAATCATACTTTTTTTCCAGGTAAACTTTTTGTTGTTTTGAGACAAGGGTTCATGTAGCCCAGGCTGGCCTTGAACTCCCTATATAACTGAGGATAATCTTGAACTTGAGATCCTCTTGCCTCCACCTCTCAGTGTGCTACTGTGCCTGGAGTTTCAGGAAAATTCAAAACAATTTGATTCCTGGTTTAAAATATTACACAGAACAACCAGGTCTGACTAACTCTCTCCGCTTACTAAGCACACTGGTGGTGTTTTAAGTCGTCCTTGAGGAGAACAAAACGAAGAAGCAAAATCCTAGCAGGAATCCTGGATGCTTCACCTGCGCTGTGACAGCACACCGAGAGGACCAAGCCCGAGAGCAGGAGCAGCACCAGCACAGACGTTCCAACCGCATCAGCCATTGTTCGACTCAGAACGGCAGCAATGACAATGAGGTAGATATGAGAGAGACCACTGAAGCTCTTCAAGACTATTCTTAGGTGGGATTGTAATTAGTTCAAGTGTTTCATCTAAAAACGATTTTTACTAGTCTGATCCTCATCATATAAGAATTTCATGGCATACTCTTGAGAACAGGGGGAAATGTACGAAGTACTAAAAGAAGCAAGCTTTAAAAAAAATTACATCAGTGAGAATCCCGTAAATCTGGGGAACCAATAATTTGTTATCGGAAGTTGATTTTAATTCAAAAACAGCTATTTGTTCTTTACTGAATTTTCTAGGAATTCACATTCAAAACGCTTGGAAAGCATTTAAGGTGCTCCAAAGAGCACAATGGTTATGCATGAAATGTCCCTTGAAGTCCTAGAAGTTGAGCAGTTACATTAAAAGACACTGACTGTCACAAAATCAGGATCTTCACAGACTGGCACACTGGCGCACACACGCGCACACACACGCTCTCTCTTCCCCCTCCCACCCCAACACAGATTCAGTCTTCACCCTCGCTGTAAGGCTGCATTTGAAGGTTTTAAAGGCACCTCTCCTTTCTAGCTATTGCCTTCTCAATGACACATTTTGTCGAAAAGCTTGAATGTTCAATGGAAACAGCTCAGTACTGAGAATGGAATTTTTTTCAATTCACATTTGAATAGCCAGGTTTTCTTACATTCAGATTTTAATAAACTAGAATGACAGTCTTTAAAACAAGCATGCTAGCCTATAGTGAGTATAGTATATACAGTAATTTAAACACTTAGAGCTCTATATTATACTGTGAAAGCAAACAGCACAACACTCGCCATACTCATCAGCCTCTGAGTATACGACCTCCAAACGGGAGAACACAAACAGTAAAATGCACCCATGGTTTAGATATATATATATATATAGTCTATATATTATATATATCCATATAATATATATAATATATATTTATAAAATATACATACATTTTTAGACATCTTTCAAATAAAGAATCATTATCTCCAAAAGAAATTTATAGCAAGAATACTGAAGGAATGGAAGTTAGATAAACAAATAATTTCTCACAAAGTTCATTATCAGTGATACAGCTCAATTTTCCCCTTTTAGTTACAACTAAATGATTACAAAAGCTAAATACTTTGCATAACTAATTATCTGTTTAATGGCAAAAATTGATAAATTTGTTCAATAGAAAAATACTGAAGGTCATTATATCACTTATTTGTCTATAGTTTGAGTAGCAAATGAGCTCCATGTGGCAGCTGCGTTTTGAGAAGGGTCCTAGAAGCTCCCAGAGACGTATCCACAGCACATGAAAATAAGGCAGGAGCCTAACCCACCTGCTGATTTTCATACTATCCCCAAACAGCTGACTCAGAATATTTACAATCCGGCAAATATTTATGAAAGCATTTCGGTGATTCTGAATCTTGAAATTTTCATTTTGTGAATGTTCATTAGGACGGGGAAAGTCAGACAAATGTCCATGCTACCATCGGCTGGAAGACAGCTTTGGCTCATGTCCAGGCTGAGAGCAAACAGGGCTAGTTTAGAAGACTCTCTCTATGTACAGTTTTCAATGCACAACGCACACTTCCTAAAACCCTTCAGCAGTCCTAGCATTTGCATTACACTTCGTCTATCTTAGGATTGTTTCCCACCCAATCACGAGGCACAGAATGACCAGGGCAGCCTCTCCTGGATTCCAGAATGTTGGTGACAAGAGTAAGACACACACTGCAGACTTTGGGAAGCAATGAAAACAAGTAACTGTGGTCATAAATACACTGCTTTTAACTGGAACCTTCTAACAGTCTACAAATGTCGGGTTAGAACACCCTTTTGTGAAGGATGGAGAGATTTACCCATCACAGTGTAAAATTTTGTATCTGGATAAAACATAAGCATTTAATTCAGTTCACTCGTGTATATTAATTTATCTTAGGTTTGTTAACCAAAGCACAAACATAAAATGTAGTTGTGTTAAATACTATAGCATGTCTAGAGAACAACCAGGGAAATTTAGCATGGGTCTTATAATGTTAATGAAAACTTGCTTGCACACTAGAGTATTCTAAAGGCATCTGCCTTTAGAGCAGAAAAACTTTAAGTCAATCATTACCCATATCACCACGAGAACGCTACTTCAAAGAATAGGTCACTAGAAATGCCACAGCTATGGCAATGGAATCATTATAACGGGTTAGAACATTTATAGGTATAATATTTTTAAGACCTAGAGCCTATGATGTATAGATTTTGGTGAAAAGGTGGACATTAATTTACTCTAAATATTTATATTGGTCTCTGTCACTTCACAGAGGAATGTGAAGGGCATGAAGGGTGCCCGACAGTTACAGGAAGGAGGTCTGCACGGAAGGGCACTAGGCAGGTCAGTAGGATTCTGCGTCTCCCAAAAGCTGACTACATATGGGTCACATAAATGTGAAATCTGCCATTTGAAGACATGGCTTTATTAGATAGAGCACTGAATCACTGTTCATTAATAGGTGTGCTCCAATTAAAGAATAGGTGAAGGTAGGAGGAGGACTCTCACAGACATCACAGGCATCAATAACGTCTTCCATCTAGGCCTCCATGAAGTTCTCAGAGACGCTGGTGGTGGACTCAGGTGCTCTGTTCTATTAGAGCTGCAAAAGCAGCTGCCTGAGAACCATGCGCTCTGGACGAGGCAACATAATAACTATAAACTGCTCATGGCAGCGGTCAGAAAACATGAGTGTGAAAGGCAGGGAAACAGTGAGCATTATCTGAACCAGTTACATGGATGTCAAGAAATGGGTGCTAATCAATAGCTTCCTCCTTTTTCAGTCAACATGAAATAATCACTCTAGTGCTATAAATACCACACAAATGAGGTGAACTTTTAAAACAAATTATCATAGAGATAGTCCCTGTTTGCCCTTAAAAATAAACAGGATCTCAAACCTGGGTAAGTTAAACACTTTAGTAAACGCCGACCCTATTAACTGCTGTTCGTAATGGGTGCTTGACAGCTAGACTTTAGAATGGTACCACATCTACTTTCAAACCAAGTATCTGTTTAGCATTTCTGAATAATATTCTTAACATATTATTGCATCTTTTCCTCCTACTAGGTGAAATGTTTTGTCACGTGCTTTATGAGAACAGCTGAAAGGAGAACTATGTTAGAAACTCACTTGAACACTGTCTGGTCATTACACAATGGGGTTAGTAGAGCAGATACAGCACAGTGTGACTACTTAGCCTGTGTAGCAGGTGTCTGGGGTAGAGTCTATCTAAGCTCCTGCTCTGCGTTCTCAGCCAAAGAACTGTTAACTACCCAGCAGAGCAGGCCCTGTTCACTCAGGAAGGGAGATGCTAAACCCGTTTCGCTCAGGCCTGCCTAGCAAACGAGAACAACCCAGAAATGAAAGTGCCTCTTTGGGGGGAGTTTGAAAGTTTTCAGGCTCACAGATTCAGCTGAGCTTGCAGCAACCTGAACAAACCTTAATTTTAGAAAACAGTTCACAAATTGCAAAACTATACTTTAACAAATGTTCTCTGTGCTCCTTCAGCAGAACAAAAGGGCAGGATGCGTTTGGTGCTTGCCCTGGTCTTCTGTATCTCTGTTGTGCAGTTGACTAATAAAGAGCTAGAAGGTGAAGCTGATGAGTCACATCATACGAAGACCTTAGCCAGGGCATCGGCTCCAGCACTGGCTATATAGCATTTGGAAGGATGGAATGCTACATCATGGATCGATTCTTCAAATTTTTTCCGATGAGCTGTGAACTCTTGGATACATGTCTTACTTTCTAAATTCCATAAGCGTATTGAACAGTCATGACCTATTCCAAAAGAAAGGAGATTGAAAGGAATAATTGTATCAACATGAAGATGATAAGGACTAAAAAAATAATCCACAGCTAATGTACTTACTGCCAGACATCAAGTACAGGCCATTTGGATCAACTGCCAAACTTGTAACCGCTTCTAGGTGGGCTACCATCGAGTGGATCAGTTTGCCTTCGGAAAAGGACATCGTTACTCTTTAGTGATGATTTCTTTGGTTTGACCACATGCCAGCTTCCATACTACACGAGTTTCCCCAGTCTTCCTCGTCTATGTACTTCTTGGATCAACTTTTTCCCAACCTATCTCCCCGTCCTGCCTCGGTCATGCTAATTAGAAAAAATAAAAATAGCTTAAATTTCAGATGAGACTTTTTAAAGCCACAATAAATTCAGTGAGTCTTACTATCCAGAGGTCACTAATCTTGTGTACCCTTTAGTTACAAACTACATGGGTTTAGGACAGACAGTTCAAATTCAAAGGGACAAAGGAAAAGAGAAAACATGGCCACAGTTTTGGTGGAAACAATAGACAGAAAAGAACTTTAAAAATTAAATTTCTAGCAACCAAACACAACTGCAGGTGACCGTATTAAAAGGCAGAGAGCCTAAGAAATAAGGCTGCTCAGGTAAAGCTCTGTGCATTTCCGTAGACTGCTGAAAACTGAGGAAGTTCCACCCCCATTCAGTCAGGACTCAAATTTTAATTTAATACAGCAAGAATCAGCCTGTGGAAAAACACACAAAACAAATGACCTGAGGGTTTTCCTATACAACACTGAATCAAGCTGTGTAATATTGAACAGAACACAGCTATTCGATAACAGAACAATTTAAAACAAAACGTAATTACCAGCCTCTGCTTCCAACCTGTTTCTATTAATACTCCCTATGGATTGCAACAGATCATTTTTATTGGTACATAGGTTTGTGGCTTTAGAATGTGCTATCTGCTCACTATTAAACAAACTAAAAATTATATTCCATAACACAGTCTCAGCAGATATGAGTGGAGAAAGTGTTTCAGGATCTATTCCGTGACTATAAAGCTTCCATTAGACACCACAATTAGCATATTAGTAGGTGTTTATTGTTTTAGTTTCTTGCTGCTGTTGCTGGTTTCGCTTCAGCACGACACAGTGCTTAGGAGGCTCTTACCTGTATTGTTATCATAGAACTTGATGTGCCTGTCTTCGTGAGCAGTGATGCTGATCGGGAGAGTGGGATGGCTGATGACTCTGTTTATTTGGCAGGAAGAATTGGCTGCTAAAAAGGAAAAATTAAAAATCAATACCAATTGGTCAAAGTAATTTTTTTTCATACAAGGAAGATATAAATACCTAAACAGACAAGAAAAAGTAAATATAATGCAACTTTAGTCTGGCTGTGGTTCAGTTATTCTCTAATCACCTCTCCAGCTTCAGTGTTGTAAAACGAGCGAGCACTGCCTAAGCTAAACCACACTGGCATATTTACAGCTGATTACAAGTCAGAAGTTCCTTTTCTACAGCCTGCTATGCATGCATGTCACCTAAGACTTGAACTAAAGTCACTGAAGACATCTAAGTCTACAGATTCTGTGATGTTTGCTATCATAACAGAGTTCTATTGGCTGGGCATGGTGGTCCACACCTTTAATCCCAACACTTGGGAGGCAGAGGCAGGTGGATCTCTCAAGAGTTCAAGAGCGGTCTGCCTCATCTACATCTAGGTCAACTAGAAATTCACATTGAGATCCTATCTCAAAATAAAAACAAAACACCAACAATATGCAAATAATCTTCAAAGTTAAATCTCAGTTCCTTCTAATACGGAGCTCTTTTCATAGAGGCGTCAGAATGAGGGCTCTGGACTTGTTCCTCTTTGCAACATAAGGGAAAAGACCATTATCTTGCAGCCCCCCAGATTCTGAGCTTTTAAGGAACATACTAATAATTGCTGTATACTATTTAAGAGTTTTCAAAGAGGTTAATTACTATATTCAGCTTGTTATTTTGATATACAACAGAAAAATGTCACGTGGCTTCGTGGAATAAGTTCTTAGGGTGCAGTTTTTCTGTTGTTTGTTTTGTTTCAGTGGCTTAGACTGATGAAGTTTAAAACAAACTAAGTTTTTTTTTTTTAAGTAAATGTGTTCTCAGGTTTGGGCTATAGAACACTTTATAATTCAAGCATTCTTCATAGTGACTTGGGCAGTTACGCTTCTGATTAAGTTTAAAAATGAATAGAGAGACTTTTAAAAGTTCGTATACATACTTGAATCTATATTGGATTCTAAAGTGAGAATTCGCTGCTGTGTTTCCATGTTAAAGATGCTTGTATATCCTTTGCTGAATGATGCCACCATATGGCTCGGGTCACTGCTCACTAGATCCACAGAAGCAGGGATTCCCAGTTCTAAGTCAGAGATATTCAAAGAGAATGACAATTAAGTTTTACTTGAGAAAGTACTCAAAATGCAGCAAAACAAAACAAAGTATGATTTACTTAAGTAAATCAGACTTAACATTAGATTAAGTTATTTACAACCATTCAGTAAAGAGCATTTCTTTTGTAACATTTAGCCTTAGTCTATTAACCTTACCTGTTAAATGCTTTCTACCCCATTATCCTGCTAATCCATTTATAGAATGCAAACTTATTTAGAAAGAAAATGAAAACATATGGACCATAAGTTTTATAGCTTCCACTTCCATTTCAGGCATAGACTAACACAGTGGGAACTCCGTATTTTAAAAACTCATCTTGAAGAAAAGAAAACAACAATAACAAATCCATCTCAGGCTGGAGTGCAGCTCAGAGATACCACCCTGGCCAAGCATGGAGTTAAGCTTTCGAAGTCTAAGTGCACATTATGACTTTGCTGAAGAATAAAGGTGTTCTGTGGCCTGGAGTGCATGTCAATGGTGGAATATTTCTCTACCACACAAATACAGAACGGTATTATCAGGGGACTAAACCTGGAACTCATCTATACCAAAAACAGAATGATAAGGCCACTGTGACAGCATATTCCTTATACCCAAGCACTTGGAAGTAGAGGCCTTTGAGGTCTGCCTGGACAACAGATTCAAGGTGAATCTGGGTTATATAGCCAGGCACTGCCACAAGAAAACAAACAAATGGAATGGTAAATATAAAATAATCTGTTTCCACACCTATCTAAAGCAAGGTAGTAATTCAAAACTGTCTAACAGTCAAAAAGCGAAAAGCAAGAAAACGGTACACAGCCAAATGAGCTATCCAAGAATGAACACTGAAACAGAAGGGACCCCCGTCCACTCGCCCACAGGAGGCTGAAATGACACAGAATGACCATCCAGAGCGAGCGAGGACGCAGTGCACGTGGGCCTCGCACTGCTGCAGCTATAAGGTGTCATGAGCACTCTGGGAACCATGCTGGTTATTTCCCATAAGTCACCAACAAAACACCCATCCTAAAACACAGCAGTTCTACTGAAAGGTCTCTGCTTCCCATGATGAAAATTTATGAATGTTTATTATAAATTATTCTGAATATTCCCCACACTGGAACAACCTAAGTAAATACCAAGCGATAAATAAATAAATTAAGAAAATTATAAATTTGTACAGACTTTGCGCACAACAGCCTCAGTGTCTGACAGGAGATAGATGAGCAGACAAACTGCAGCTTAATATAATCCTCTCCCATAATAAAGGAAAGAAACGGGCACTGGGTTGCACAAACGTTACACGGATGAGAAGCTAGACTGCTATCTTATTGTGGTTCGGAATAGACAAAACTAATCTATAGTGAGAGTAATCCTGACAAGAGGAACCATTGGCTGGGAATATGTAACAGGGACTGACTAAGGACACAGAGCAGCTGAGAAGAAAGGGTCCAGCTCCAGACCTCTACCAGCTCCAGGACTGCACTTGCTCCCCAGCTGCATGAGAACACATCCTTAACATCGGTAATCATCACTGAAAATAAGTTATGTCTCAGTTTTTTTTTAAATTTAAGCCCCATTTTCTCATCAAATGTTGTTTTTAAGAATTATACGTGCATTGAAATGTCAAACAATAATGTTGCTACGTTAAAAAAAAAACCTTAGAAATTTATAAAGTCAAGTTTATAGAATCATTTACTTGTTTGCTTTTTCAGAGTAGGATATTTTACAAAATATCTGGAAATGTTCGATTTGAAGGACTGTACCTTGGTTATCATTAAACACACTCAGTGCTGGAGCAGCCTCGGTTGTGTTCCATAAACGAAGAGTGCCATCTGCTGAACAGGACAACAGGCGCTGGTGTGCCGCACTGTAGGCCAGCCCCCACACGGCATCTGTGTGGCCCAGCAGAGGGCCTCTCAGAACAGAAGGATCTGTGTAAAACAAGAAAGTGCAAAACCAGGAAGAAAAAGCGCAAAGGCATTAGGTTCCACTGTAAACATTAAACAGAGCACCCAGAAACGGTATAATACAATCTTCCTATTTCATTATTCTTCTGAAATACTGTCGGAATCACAAGTAGTTTTCGAAATATACAAATAAGGTTTGGAAATACTAAATTAGAATGAAGAAGCCAAGTATGCTTTCTTAAGAAAGCTCTATTTTAATGCTTATTAAATAAAATAAGAAGAGATTTCTGTTTACTTTAGTTTGGTAGTGAAATTAAAATGTTTTTAATGGCAAAGCATGACATGTTAAATCATTCTGCATTAACTCAAAACTTAAAGCAGCCAATTTCTAAAGAGTTTTACAAGAGAATTTATGGTAACATCTAGAAACACAGGATAATATGAATTCATGGCAAAAAAAACTGCTCTTAAAACCAAAGGGCCTGTGTGCATGCATGCATGCATGTCTACGTGTGTGTGTTGAGGGTAGAGAAAGGACAGGTAGACAGCTTGGGTTTATTCTGGAACTTAGACTGACCTGGAACTCATTAAATAGACCACACTGGTTTAAATTCACAGCAATTCTCCTACTGCTCCCTGCCAAGTTCGGGGATTACAGACCTACACCACTAAACCTAGCTGAAAGGCCATTCCTTAACCTTTGAGGTTCTTTATAAAAAAATATTTTGGAGGCTTGGACTTTAAAACTAATTAGCTTCTTCTATTTTCCTCTAATAACTGAGCAAGGGAATAATGCTAGCATTCATTTACCTTTAAAGTTTTTTGCCAAAAACATAATGAAATATGACTACAGATGAGTTGCAATGTTTCACATAAGAGACAGATGTCTAACATGAAGATAGCAAGCGTCAACCAAACCATTATTTCTGTCATAAGACTGCATAGATGAACTCTTTTCTTAAGAACAGCCTGTTTTTTCCTTTGGCATTAGGATCTGTTTCCTGTATTTACAGGAGTCCTTCTGAATGAGATAAAGACATGCTTCTCTTTATTAGTTTTTTAAATACATAGTTTTACCCTTAATATATACTATGAAAAAAAAAAAAGACAACACTGTTTCAGAGCTTTGGAGAAGCACCTACCATAAGAGTCGTAGGGATCGATGTTGGGGTTGGTGGTGTTCCAGCCCTGAATCAGACCATCCGTACCCCCACTGTAACACTGCTCACCATTGCTACTCATCACCACACACAGTACCGGACCTCTGGGACACCAAAGGAATCAACAGCAGTTAACTGCTATTCTCACACATTAACTCTACAATGTAACTTGTCAAAATTTACAATGTACTATTTATTTTTCTTTTTTTTTTGCCAGACCAAAGGTTAGTAAATTGAGGCCAAATTCACCTAATAGTCCTAGTATAGTTCTCAAGCTTTTTACATATTTAAAAATTAAAACAGCAACCCTCACAGCAAAAACAAAACCAAGAATATTACATGAATTAAGACCCTTAGTTCAATCCCCAACAAAAACCAAACCAAAAGCCAAAAGAGGACAAAAAAAGAAACAGCTCAACAGAATATGGTCTGCTAAACCTGAAAAAATATTTACTTTTTCATCCTTTACATTTAATTTCTGTGACAAATGAAGTGAAGACATGCCTCTCACACATAAGTGAAAATGAAGAAAATACATAATAACTAAAGAAAAATTCTTGGTTAAAAATACAAGTGTCAAACCAGGCGGTGGTGGCACACACCTTTAATCCTAGCATTCAGGAGGCAGAGACAGGCGGATCTCTCTGCGTTCAAGGCTAGCCTGGTCTGCAGAGTGAGTTCCAGGACAGTCAGGACTATTACAGAGAAACCCTGTCTTGAAAAACAAAACAAAACAAAAATACAAGAGGCATGTGTGTGAGCATACATTACTCAGGAGGAAATCCAGGGCCTCATGCAGAATGGGCAAGCCTTCAATCTTTAAGCTGTGCCTCCCTCCTCAACTTTGAATATTTTTATGCAGACTATGTTTAAGATTTCTTTTTAAAATGCTAAGATTTCTTTTTAAATGATTTTTATTTTTTATTTGTATGTGTGGCTGTATGTCACTTCTGCGCAGGTGCCCACAGAGGCCACGAGAGTGGTGTCGGATCACAGGAGCTGGGGTTACAAGCTGCTGTGAACCAGGAGCAGCAGCAGGTGCCCAGTGCTAGCTTTTCTAATACTTAAATCAAAATACCTTGGCTTCAGTTTATAATGCACATGCATACCAGGATCCCTACTTGACTTGGTATTTACATTATCTGCCAGGTTCTTTCACATTTATAAAAAAAATTAATAAATAAAAGGGCCCCAGTACTAAATAGAAAATATAATAAAACATTTAACTGAACGAATGTATAATATTCCAATCAAACTGTGTTATAAAGATGATGGCTTAAAATAAAGAAATCACAAACTTACTTGTGAGCCCTAAACGTATAGATAGGCTCCACATCGAGAGAAGTGCTCCTAAACCAGAGAGAGAAGATGACTTTAGGTGTCGCACATTTCAGTAGTGAGCAGCATGACTAGTCACAGTACAGTGTCAGAAATAGACCCCATGACAGTAACATCCTCAGCCTCAGGACAGAGGCTCTTCTTATCCCAATTATACCCCTACATAGACAACTCCCACCTCAGCAGTGGCACTTCGTTAAACAGCCTCTCACACTGTTACAACTCGTCCACTAGTGTTACATGGTCTCCTCACACTGTTACAATCGTCCACTAGTGTTACATGGTCTCCTCACACTGTTACAATCGTCCACTAGTGTTACATGGTCTCCTCACACTGTTACAACTTGTCCACTAGTGTTACATGGTCTCCTCACACTGTTACAACTTGTCCACTAGTGTTACATGGTCTCCTCACACTGTTACAATCGTCCACCCCCTCATCCAGCCTCCATCAGCAAGGATCCTTTCACTGTGTGACTCACAAGAGTACTACTAAGTACAACAGATGTAACACAGGCACCACAGAAGCTGTACTGCTTGTAGAAGAAATTGCAGCCCGGTTTCAAAGACACCAGTAGGTAGCATCAGTGCTGAGACTCACACAGGACAGGCAGAATGCCAGGTGCAGTCTGAGCATGGGGATGGGAATGAAGTCAGCAGAGGGGTTATTTACTCCTTGGATGTGCTGTATCTTTGCCTTTCTTATTCTCAGGTCACGATATGCTAGTTATGCTAGCTCTGGTTCCAGCTTAGTCACATGGACTTAAATGTAAATGTCTGATTTAGCAAAGTAGCAAAAACAAATTAGTAAAATATCTACACAAGCAAATAATAACCTAGTTACCTCTGAGCTGAACGACTTGAAAAAGATAATGTATACCTAAAATTCCTGCAACATGATGTAGAAAATGGTGAGTTCTTGCTTTTAACCAATGTCTACGATGAATCTCGCCTATTAAGTAATGCAGTGCACTCAGAGTCTGATGACGTGGGCAGTTTCCACAGAATCAAGGACAGACATATTAACCTTCATGAAAACACAGGGAAGTTAAAGTACTATTTGCTGAAATCCTGCCGTGTGTATAGTTCTGGCCTTGACTTTCTTTTTTTAATATTTAGATTCTCAACTCATGTTGAATATTTGATACTATCAAGAGTTTTATGTTTTATTTTAAATATGAAATGATTTGAAGTTCTGAAATGATAAAAATTTCCCTGCATTATATGATATAACTGGAAATTTTCACATTCTGAAAATTACCCTTTACAGCCCATGTTTTCTCTCCCATTAGAGGAGGAATTGCGACAGTGTGAGGAGGCCTCATCTAGACCTGTTCTAGCGTGGGGGCTAAGGAAACAGTTTATAGGACAGTGTGCCTATTGACATTCATACACCAAGACAAGAATGAGCAGCTAAACAAAGACAACAGTAGCCCTTAGTTCATACAAACCCCTTAGAATAGAAAACTTGTTGTCAAAAAAAAAAAAGCTAAGGTCATAGAAAAATCCCTAACCACATCTTCACTTTGTAAATCCAAACTCTGTAAATAATGGGCCAGAGTGAAGTCAAAGTTTTGATAATTCTGATGTTCCTACTTATATCTCTTTACATTGACAGGAATCTTCATTACAGGCAAGAGGCCTCACTTATAAATAAAAAGCCACTTAAAACACTTATGCATAAGGACTGTGATCAGCAGTCACAAACCCTTGGGAACCATCAGAGATTCACCTGGTAAAAAATAAAGAACCTGAAGAGAGATATGGAAAATATAACAGAAAATTATTTTAAAATATTATGTCTTTTCCTATTGATAATTTAACTTAATCTTAAAGTAAGTAAAATTAGAATATTCTTACTTTTTGGCTGGGGCTGTTTTCTGCAGATTCCACATTTTCAGTGTATGGTCTTCTGACGCTGTTATTAAAACAGGCTCGGTGGGGTGGAAAGCAAGGGCTCGGATGCCATCAAAGTGACTTCTTAATGTAAACTTAGGGTTCCAAGTCTTCCTCAAGGCATCTTTATTATTTGCTATCTATTAAAGAAACAAAAAAATCAGGTTGGGATAGCTGATTCTCAAAACAATATATCTTTTTTTTTTAAGACGTATTTATTATGTATACAGTGTTCTGCCTGCATGTATCCCTGCATGGCCAGAAGAGGGCACCAGATCTCACTACAGATTGTAGTGAGCCACCATGTAGTTGCTGGGAACACATAACAGCGATTTTTCTTGAGGTTAAAAATGTGAGTTTGCAAGGTCCCAATGAGGAGCAGAAGGAGGGAGAACATGAGCAAAGAAGTCGGGACCACGAGGGGTGCACCCACCCACTGAGACAGTGGAGCTGATCTATTGGGAGCTCACCAAGGCCAGCTGGACTGTGACTGAAAAAGCATGGGATAAAACTGGACTCTCTGAACATGGTGAACAATGAGGGCTGATGAGAAGCCAAGGACAATGGCACGGGGTTTTGTTCCTATGTAATGTGCTGGCTTTGTGGGAGCCTAGCCAGTTTGGATGTTCACCTTCCTAGATATGGACGGAGGGGGGAGGACCTAGGACTTACCACAGGGCAGGGAACCCAGACTGCTCTTTGGACTGGAGAGGGAGGGGGAGAGGAGTGGGGGGAGGGGGAGAAGGGTGGGAGGAGGGGGAGAAGGGTGGGAGGAGAGGGGGGGAAATGGGAGGCTGGGAGGAGGTGGAAACTTGTTTTTTTTTTCTCCTTTTCTCAATAAAAAAAAAAAGTTAAAAAAAATGTGAGTTTGCATTAGAAGGAAGTCAAAGTCCCATAAGCTACTGGGTAAAGTCTTCGTGGTTTAGGCAAACAGGACAAAAATATGTAATGGGAACTTCTGCTTCTAGTCATTATAGACTAGGTAATTTGTACAACCCCTGTTGGAAGAATAAGTAGAAAAGAGGTAAGCATACATATGTGAAGAAATTAGGGCTACCGCGCGGAGCCCGCACTTCAGGATGAACTGAAGAGGCAGGACAAATGCTGTTGGTCAGACATAACTTACCACAGGCGCCTAAACAAAAACAGCTCACACTTTGCAATGGGAAAGAGAATTCCAATGCTTATGCTATACTGACCCCCAGATCTAGGCAAAGCCTCCAACTTTAATCTCCAGGTTATTTAGAAAATGCCAGCTAGAGACGCACAGAGGCGCAGCGGCGGCGGCGGCGCCAGACGCACAGAGGCGCAGCGGCGGCGGCGGTGGCGCCAGACGCACAGAGGCGGCGCCAGATGCGGCGCAGCGGTGGCCAGACCCAAGCGGCTGGGACAGGCGTGCAATAAGGAGAGCAGATCGCCCTACTACAATTGAATCAAAGAGGTAGGCCTTTGGTTGGCCAGGTCACTGGCACAAGGGGAGCCTGGTCCTGTCCTGAAGATCCTTCGGAGGGGTGAGAGGGTTCTTGGCCTGCAGCAGGAACCACGAAAGAGAGTGAGGGCATTTTGTAAGCGGAGCCCTTGGCCAGCAGGGAAACCTGATCCGGTTTCTAAAGGATCCATTGGATAGGATCAATAGGAGGAGATGGGCAGGCGCCAAGGCAAGAACTCACCCAATAATCCGAAAAACAACATGAAAACATCAGAACCCAATGATCTTACAACAGAAGTATTTGAACAACCTAACACAGAAGAAGTGGAAAAAATCGACTTTATGAAGATAATAGAGTCCCTTAAACAACATGTAAAAAATGCCCTTATAGAAATGGATGAGAAGTATAACAAAAAGTTTGAAGAAATGAGTAAATACGTACATGATACCCTGGGAAACCAAGAAAAAACCATCAAACAGGTAATGGAAACAGTTCAAGAATTGAAAACTGAAATGAAGGCAAAGAAGAAAATACAAACTGAGGACCAGCTGGATATGGAAAATCTAGGCCAACGAGCAGAGTCTACAGAAACAAGCATAATCAATAGAATACAAGAGCTAGAAGAAAGACTCTCAGATGCTGAGGACACCATAGAGAAAATAAACGAACAGATCAAAGAAAACAGCAAAGCCAACAAATTCTCAACACAAAACATTCAGAAACTATGGGACACAATAAAAAAACCAAACCTAAGAATAATAGGAATAGAAGAAGGAGAAGAGTCACAGCTCAAAGGCTCAGAAAATATTTTCAACAAAATTATGGAAGAAAACTTTCCCAACTTAAAGAAAGATATTCATTTAAATATTCAAGAAGCATACAGAACACCAAACAGACTGGATCAAAGAAAAACATCTCCTCGCCATATAATAATCAAAACACAAAATATACAGGTTAAAGAAAGAATATTAAGAGCTGCAAAAGAAAAAGGGCAAGTAACTTATAAAGGTAAACCGATCAGACTTACACCTGACTTCTCGATGGAAACTATGAAAGCCAGAAGGTCCTGGATAGAGGTTCTGCAGAAGCTAAGAGACCATGGATGCAAACCCAAACTACTATACCCAGCCAAGCTATCGTTCACTATCAACGGAGAAAACAAGACATTCCAGGATAAGAACAAATTTAAACAATACGTAGCCACAAATCCAGCCCTACAGAAAGTAATAGAAGGAAAATCGCAACCCAAGGAATCCAACACTGCCAACACTGCCTACAATAACCCAGGCATCTAATGACCCTTCACGAGCACATCTCAAAGAAAGGAGACACACAATCTCTACTACCAAAAGCAATAAGAATAACCGGAGTAAACAACCACTGGTCATTAATATCACTTAATATTAATGGGCTCAATTCACCTATAAAAAGGCACAGGCTAAAAGATTGGATACGAAAACAGGATCCAACATTCTGCTGTTTGCAAGAAACACATCTCAACCACAAAGACAGGCACCTACTCAGAGTAAAGGGTTGGGAAAAGGTGTTTCAAGCAAATGGTCCTAAGAAAAAAGCAGGTGTGGCCATACTAATTTCTAACAAAACTGACTTCAAACTAAAATCAATCAGAAGAGACCGAGACGGTCACTTTATACTCATAACAGGAACAATTCATCAGGAGGACGTCTCAATCCTGAATATATACGCCCCCAATATAAAAGCACCTACTTATGTAAAAGAAATATTACTAGAACTCAAGGCAGACATCAAACCACACACACTAGTAGTAGGAGACTTCAACACACCTCTCTCTCCAAGGGACAGGTCAATCAGACAGAAACCTAATAGAGAATTAAGAGAATTATTGGAGGTAATGAAGCAAATGGACTTAACAGACATCTATAGAACATTCCACCCAAATAGGAAAGAATATACCTTCTTCTCTGCAGCTCATGGAACCTTCTCAAAAATTGACCACATACTCGGAAACAAAGGAAACCTCCACAGATACAAAAAAATATCAGTGTCCACCTGTGTCTTATCAGATCATCACGGATTAAAGTTAGAAGGCAACAACCACGCTGCCCCCAAAAAACCGACAAACTCATGGAAACTGAACAGTCAACTACTGAACCACACCTGGGTCAAGGAAGAAATCAAGAAAGAAATTAAAGTCTTCCTTGAATTTAATGAAAATAAAGGGACAACATACTCAAACCTATGGGACACTATGAAAGCAGTGCTAAGAGGAAAGTTCATAGCACTAAGTGCCCACTTAAAGAAAACGGAGAATGCATACATTGGGGACTTAAAAACACACCTGAAAGCTCTAGAAAAAAAAGAAGCAGACGCGCCCAGGAGAAGTAGAAGACTGGAAATAATAAAACTGAGGGCTGAAATCAACAAAATAGAAACACAGAAAACAGTCCAAAGAATCAATGAAACAAAAAGCTGGTTCTTGGAGAAAATCAACAAGATCGACAAACCCCTATCCAAACTAATTAAACGACAGAGAGAGAACACGCAAATAAATAAGATCAGAAATGAAAAGGGGGACATAACCACAGACACAGAGGAAATTCAGAGAATCATTAGATCTTACTACAAAAGCCTGTATGCCACAAAACTGGAAAATACAAAAGAAATGGACATTTTTTTAAATAAGTATCATATACCAAAGCTAAACCAAGACCAGGTGAATGATCTAAATAGACCGGTTTCTCGCGAAGAATTAGAAATGGTTATCAAAAATCTCCCATCGAAAAAAAGCCCAGGACTAGATGGTTTCAATGCAGAATTCTACCAGAACTTCCAAGAAGAATTAATACCTATACTCCTTAAGGTATTTCACAATATAGAATCAGAAGAGTCATTGCCAAATTCCTTTTATGAAGCTACAGTTACCCTGATACCAAAACCACAAAAAGACCCAACCAAGAAAGAGAATTACAGACCGATCTCACTCATGAACATCGACGCAAAAATCTTCAATAAAATACTGGCAAACCGAATCCAAGAACACATAAGAAAAATTATCCATTATGATCAAGTAGGCTTCATCCCAGAGATGCAGGGCTGGTTCAACATACGCAAATCTATCAATGTAATCCACCTTATAAATAAACTGAAAGAAAAAAACCATATGATCATTTCACTAGATGCGGAAAAAGCATTCGACAAAATTCAACACCCCTTTATGATAAAGGTCTTGGAGAGAATAGGGATACAAGGGTCCTACCTAAATATAATAAAAGCTATTTACAGCAAGCCAACAGCTAACATTAAATTAAACGGAGAAAAACTCAAAGCCATCCCACTAAAATCAGGAACACGACAAGGATGTCCACTCTCGCCATACCTCTTCAATATAGTGCTTGAAATTCTAGCAATAGCAATAAGACAACATAAGGAGATCAAGGGGATTCGTATTGGAAAGGAAGAAGTTAAGCTTTCGTTATTTGCAGATGATATGATAGTGTACATAAGCGACCCCAAAAATTCTACCAAAGAACTCCTACAGCTGATAAACAGCTTTAGTAACGTGGCAGGATACAAGATCAACTCCAAAAAATCAGTTGCCTTCCTATACACCAAGGATAAGGAAGCAGAGAGGGAAATCAGAGAAGCATCACCTTTCACGATAGCCACAAATAGCATAAAATACCTTGGGGTAACCCTGACCAAGGAAGTGAAAGATCTACTTGACAAGAACTATAAGTCTTTGAAGAAAGAAATTGAAGAAGACACCAGAAAATGGAAAGACCTCCCTTGCTCTTGGATTGGGAGGACCAACATAGTAAAAATGGCAATTCTACCAAAAGCAATCTATAGATTCAATGCAATCCCCATCAAAATCCCATCAAAATTCTTCACAGATCTGGAGAAGACAATAATCAACTTTATATGGAAAAACAAAAAACCCAGGATAGCCAAAACAATCTTATACAATAAAGGTTTGTCTGGAGGCATTACCATCCCTGACTTCAAACTCTATTACAGAGCTACAGTATTGAAAACAGCTTGATATTGGCATAAAAACAGAGAAGTCGACCAATGGAATCGAATAGAAGACCCTGACATTAACCCACAAACCTATGAACACCTGATCTTCGATAAAGGAGCTAAAAGTATACAATGGAAAAAAGAGAGCATCTTCAACAAATGGTGCTGGCAAAACTGGATGTCAATCTGTAGAAGAATGAAAATAGATCCATATCTATCACCATGCACAAAACTCAAATCCAAATGGATTAAAGACCTCAATATCAGTCCGAACACACTGAACCTGATAAAAGAGAAAGTGGGAAGTACTCTACAGCACATGGGCACAGGAGACCACTTCCTATGTATAACCCCAGCAGCACAGACACTAAGGGCATCATTGAATAAATGGGACTTCCTGAGGCTGAGAAGCTTCTGTAAAGCAAAGGACACTGTCACTAAGACAAAAAGACAACCCACTGACTGGGAGAAGATCTTCACCAACCCTGCAACTGACAAAGGTTTGATCTCCAAAATATATAAAGAACTCAAGAAACTAGTTCGTAAAAGGCTAATCAACCCAATTATAAAATGGGGCACTGATCTGAACAGAGAATTCTCAACAGAAGAACTTCAAATGGCCAAAAGACACTTAAGGTCATGCTCAACTTCCTTAGCGATTAGGGAAATGCAAATCAAGACAACTTTAAGATACCACCTTATACCTGTCAGAATGGCTAAAATAAAAAACACCAATGATAGCCTTTGCTGGAGAGGTTGTGGAGAAAGGGGTACACTCACCCATTGCTGGTGGGAATGCAAACTTGTGCAACCACTCTGGGAAGCAGTGTTTCGGTTTCTCAGGAAATTCGGGATCAACCTACCCCTGGATCCAGCAATACCACTCTTGGGAATATACCCAAGAGAGGCCCTATCATACAACAAAAGTATATGCTCAACTATGTTCATGGCAGCATTGTTTGTAATAGCCAGAACCTGGAAACAACCTAGATGCCCTTCAACGGAAGAATGGATGAAGAAAGTATGGAATATATACATATTAGAGTATTACTCAGCAGTAAAAAACAAGGACTTCTTGAATTTTGCATACAAATGGATGGAAATAGAAAACACTATCCTGAGTGAGGTAAGCCAGACCCAAAAAGAGGAACATGGGATGTACTCACTCATATTTGGTTTCTAGCCATAAATAAAGGACATTGAGCCTATAATTCATGTTCCTAGAGAAGCTAAATAAGGTGAATCCAAAGACAAACACATAGGCATCCTCAGGAATATTAACCTTCATCAGGCGATGAAAGGAGACAGAGACAGAGACCCACACGGGAGCACCGGACAGAAATCTCAAGGTCCAAATCAGGAGCAGAAGGAGACGGAGCACGAGCAAGGAACTCAGGACCACGAGGGGTGCACCCACACACTAAGACAATGGGGATGTTCTATTGGGATCTCACCAAGGCCAGCTGGCCTAGGTCTGAAAAAGCATGGGATAAATCCGGACTAGCTGAACATAGCGGACAATGAGGAATACTGAGAATTCAAGAACAATTGCAGTGGGTTTTTGATCCTACTGCACGTACTGGCTTTGTGGGAGCCTAGGCAGTTTGAATGCTCACCTTACGAGACCTGGATAGAGGTGGGCAGTCCTTGGGCTTCCCACAGGTCAGGGAACCCTGATTGCTCTTCGAGCAGATGGGGGGGGGGGACTTGGGGGAGGGGGAGGGAAATGGGAAGCGGTTGTGGGGACGAGGCAGAAATCCTTAATAAATAAATAAATTTAAAAAAAATAAAATAAAATAAAAAAAAAGAAAATGCCAGCTAATTTTTATATCTATCTTTGCAAAATGTGAAATTAAAACTAAACCAAGATCCATACTTGTGAAAAAGTTCTTAACCTCTGACATCTTTTTCTATAAATTTAATTTTCAAACACAGTAATGGCATAAAAAAGAAAACTGCTACTTACATCATAAGCTAATGAGTCTGCTTCATTGGCCACTGTAAGGCCTGCCAATTCTCCAAGCCCCAGTTCACTTTCAAGGGCTTCATCTGCTCCCATGATAAATGACTTCCCAGAAGAAGGCGGAAATGTCAGTGCTTCCACTGAGGAGAGACAGAGCCGAGTTACACATCTACACACTTCACAGCTATTCTTGCTTGCTTGTATTACCTTTCTGATAAGAGAACATGCACATCTTAGTTTGTTCTACTTTTGTTTTCGGAGCCTAGGCTGGCCCAGAACGAAGGCAATTTTCTTGCCTTGGCCTCCTAAGTGCTGGAATTACAGGCCTGAGGGCTATGTACCTAGCAGTAATCTTACATGACTGTTAGGCAATTCTCTAAACAGTGAAATTACTTGAGTAGAAAAATCTTAAAGACTGGTTTTTCATATATTATCCTGCTAATAGCATCATCTAATTAGAAAAGTAAAACAGAAACAAATTTGATAATTTACTGTCCTTTCCTTGATCATTATATAGAAAATGGCGTAATTATAATAAATTTTCTATTTGATATTTCAAGCTAATTACTCAAATAATGCCTATCAATGACAAAGTATATTAAGAAGTAGTATTTGCTATATGTTGAACACTACTGATCTCATTCAAAACAAAACTGTAATTCTGTCACCTCAAATATTGCAGACATTTCAAAATGAAAACTATACAATGCGCTTATCTGAGGAAAATTAATATACAATGTTAGAAGTTGCGATTACCTCTGAGAGTGAAACAAGAGACCAGTGGTGAAAGAGGTCACATAGGATGCTACCCCTTGGTGACGCTCTCGCTCCTGATCTGGGGGTGATGGCTAATTCTGATGTGTGATTACTTAATGAGCTGTTCCCATTTGTACACATGCCTTCTATCATTTAAAGATGTTTTAAAGTCCATTTCAGAACTTTAATAGATGCCTACTGTGCTTTGAGACGGAGTTTTACTGTGTAATCAACTTGAACTTCTTACTTTGTAACTTTGAACACAGCACTTCAATCTTTCCAACAAGTATCACTGAAGGGCCAGTAAAAAGCAAAATGCTAAAATTAAGACTTTATAAAAGAAAACTATTCCAAAAAGGCTCCAGAGCTTGCCTTTCTTCATTGATGAGAAACATTTAAGATGAATTTAGCAAGTTAAAGGATTTGCTAAAGAGATGTTATCTTTTAACAAAGAAGCGAGTTAATTATATCAAGTACAGCAGACTTAAAAGTTGTTTTTCAGTGCTACAGTTAATCATGTTTATTAATAGGTACTTGTTGAACATATTAAATCATAGTTATTTGCTCTTAAAAACAGAAGTGGTCTGAGTGTGGTGGTGCACACCTTTAATCCCAGCACTCTGGAGGCAGAGGCAGGTGAACCTCAAGACCAGCCTAGTCTACGTAATGAGCTCAAATTAGCCAGGGATAAACAGTGACAAAGACCTAGTACCAGTAACAGAAACTCAAACTTTTTGTCAGAAATAAAAAAGAAAATCACTGTCAGAATAAAACAATACAAATTAAACCATTATCGAGCCACATGTACACAGAAGTGGCATTGATAAAAATGGGCTTCAGCTGTGTATTATCTATGTGTGTCTAGGTATTCAGCAGGTGTTCTTTGTTTCTTATGTTTTTCATTTCTAACATTTTCATACAAATGACCTTGTCCCTGAAACAGGCTCCTGAAACTGATCACAGCATGGGTGAGTGGTAACTAATATTCTAGAAAGTCTAGTCAGTGGTCAGAAGAGAAAGCAACAGGGACATCACATCTCTAAGTGGGTGGGCATCTTGTTCTCTCTGGCCTCAGAAGTTAAGAAACAGGTTACAGTGCTTTGGGTAACTAAACACTGCAGCCCCTAATTAGATTTTAGAACACTAACTGGAATTCAAATACTACACCAGGTATGGAAGCTTCTCCTGAGAGCTGGGTAAAGATTCTTTAGTGACAGGCAATTAAATATTTAAGCAATAGTCTCTCCCACACTCTTCAACCCTAAAGCAGGGGACAGAACCTAGCTCTGCTTGATAGGGAAATGCTCTATCACCAAGTGACGTTCCAACCGTGGACTTTTTTCATATTTATATGCCATAGAATTGTACTGCGGAAAAGCTAGTAACATCAAAAAAAAAAAAAAAAAAACCTCAGGAGAAAGGATTTTATTTTAAATCTAAAGTATAATATATAACATTAAGGCTGAGCTTGAAAATAATCAATATATGATTTTATACTAAAACAAGATAGAACTATTCTACACGATGGCTGTAACTATCATGTTAAAAACACATGCAAGTGGATAAGGACTTTTAAAAGGAAACAAGGAAACATGGGCAGCAGAAAATATGAAAGCGGGAGGTTTTCCTTCCATTTTGTTGTTGCTTTGAGAAAGGGTCTCACTATGCAGCCCTTAGCTGCACAGAACTTGCTCTGTAGATGGGGCTGACCTCAAACTCTCAGGAAGCTGGTTTTCTCTGCCTCTGAGTACTAGGACTAAAGCATGTTGTCACCATGATGTCCAGGGTCCCTTCATATTTTAATTCAATGACAAATTAAGCATGCTGACCTTTTTCTCCACCTTCATTTCTGTTTATTCAGAATATCTAATACATCATAACATCAAGTTCATTATCTAAAAATGATAAGGCATATTATTGTGAATTATTTTATTAAATTATAACTATAGGTTTTGACATGGATAGTCCCAGAAAATCTCATAAACTGTTGTCATCCTGAGACTCCTTCAACCATAGTAAACCAGATGACAATTTGCCCATCATGACAAAAGATGTTTTTTATTTATTCACAGTTCGTGAGTTTAAGGAAAGAAGCATCAAATCCAAAAAAAAGTAATGATTAAGTAATGAAGAAAATGTGAGCAGATATGTTTAAGGTTTTTAAAAGTCAATGCAAGAACAACACAATTTTTTAGCTTGGTGTAAACTTTGTAACAAAAAATACAATTGAATTACTATTCTGTGTGGATTGCATTAAAAAATATAATTACTTAACAAAATCTTGTACAGTGGCGTTAAGTTTAAAATAAATGTATTGGTCACATATTAGGGACAAACTCGTGAAAATAACATAAACTTTGGTACCAGCTTTCAAATGCAAAGGCAGTAATAACTATAAACTTAACCTTGGGCAAACCGCTGTTCAGGTAACTGGTTATCTTTAAGCTCTACCTTAAAACTGCATGCCATCCATCATAGGTGTGAGTGGACAGAACTTCAGACTTGCAGCATTATGGTGCCTTTCGAAGTGAACATTTAGTACCAATTTTCAGACTCAATTTTCTCAGCCTTGGAACAGGGCAAGTCTGTTACTACTCTGTTATCAGTGGTTATTCTAAACCAGAAACTAAGATGCCCCTTCCCCCAAATCACAGACGAAGCTGGAGTCAACCCCTACTGACTGAAGAAAGTGGCTATGTGCAGACGGAGTAAACTCTAAAGCGCCAGTCCTGGCTATGGTCCAGGTGCTCACCTTCATCGGCCCTGCTGATCTCCTGCTCAGGAAGCCTGGAGCTGCTGGGTCTGGAAGGGGAGCCAACAGATGGCTGCAATGAGGGAAGTTCATCAACATCTCTCAAATTAGCAAGCATATCTTGTAGTTTTGACCTATTGGGCCCTAGCCAAAAAAGGGGGAGGGCAGGGGAGAAAAAAAGAGAAAACAGAATCACTCATTTCATAAAAATCGTAAAGTAAGCTTTTTCACATCTGCCAACATTCACCTTTAAAATGTCCTACTAGATTGATCAATTAGGAGCAGCTATTTTTGAAATTTTCAAATTTTAAGAGTTTATTATTTCTGGAAAAGAGTCATACTTAACTACATATTTTTTTTGTAAATTAAGTTAATAGAATCACTACATGAAAAAAGAATGTCATGTCCAGTATGTATCATTAAAAGTCATACTTATCTACAACAAAACCAGTGACTATCGGTCTAAATGAAGACAGGCAAGCAGAGATCAGGAACCAAATGTGAGCTCAACTGAACAATACACTCCTGCTGTTTAAATTAAGTTACGTTCATTGCCTTACATTCTGCAGCTATGGACCCCAAAGTGAAGTCTCATGCCCTGTTGGTCACTTACCTGGGCTTTGATTCTTCATTCTCCCACATCCCTGTTTTGACTGTTTTATATAGGATAGAGGCTGAAACAGATCTTCGGTAGTTTTTCCTGTTACAAGTTTAATTAAGAATGGGAAAATCTTACCCATAGTCCGTTATGGTATTTGCTATACCAGCAAAGAATACAACTATTTCTAAGCAATTCTAAGGAATTCCTAGAAAAGTTTAAGACAGTATGACTGGAGTACACCATTTGACTGGATATACTTACACTAGACCAATTAAAAACAACCAGTTTACAGTGGGTAGCAGCTCAATTAAAAAGTGTATCTGGTAGCTTAGAAACTAATGTTCTGTATAACAAGTCACAGCTTTACTTGATTCTTCTCATTATCACAGCTCTTCACTTGTCCTCACACTACTGTTGTAACATAATAACAAGTGAGAACGGTAAAATGTGGGGGCCTTAGACTACACGCCTTATCTTCATGTAAGACATTTGAATTTCTCCCCCATAGAATTAACACTTCTTTACTTAAAAAGCCCATGTGCTATATATTTAAATATGCAATCCCTAGGTGTAAAGAATCCAATTGCTTCTGTTTAAAGGAATACTATTCCAGTCAAATGGTGCAGATTTAGATCGGAAGGGCTAAATTCTACCCACAATGTAAGAGTAGATGAGTTGGCAACCTTTCCAATTAAAAGATCTTTTCATAGTGCAAGACACTCATTGTATAATATAATGTCCCAAAGAAATATACCAACACTGATTTAATCTGGAAGCCATTTCTAATGTATGATATACAAATTTTCCTCAACATTTTAGTTTAACTGGCTCGAAAATGGTTCTAAAAGTCATAGCAATTCATGTCAATATATTTTTTAAGCTTAAAGTTTTTAGAATATTTGAAAAATGGGATGAAGCGGTTTTGTTTTAATGTTAATCTTTCTTGTTCTGATTTTATCTAGTTTGAGATAACACTTTCAGTAATTGTCAAAACTGTGTTAATATCAGTAATGGACATAAGACTTTTCATTGAATTAACAATTTAAAAATTCTAAGATTTTCAGTAAATATCTAACTGTTTTAATGGTAATTAGCAGATTGTAAAACAATGTCTGCCAGGAATGACTGGTCTTGATATGTTTTGCCATAATTAAAAAGTAACAAGGGAATGCAGTATTTCCTTCCAGTCTTTTGCTAACTTATAATTCCGTTTCTCACTAATTTAGATTTGAATCTCATTTTGTACTATTTTCACATCTCAAAGAATGAAATTCCAATTGTGGTGTACGAGGTCCTTCTGTTTATGTGTTGTTTTCGTTGGTTAATGAATAAAGAAACTGTCTTGGCCTTTTGATAGGACAGAACATAGGTAGGCAGGGAAAACAGAACTGAATGCTGGGAGGAAGAAGGGCAGAGTCAGAGATGCCATGGATCCTCCGCCTGAGACGGACGCCTGTTAGAATCTTGTAGGTAAGCCACAGCCATGTGACAATACACAGATTAATAGAAATGGGTTAAATTAAGATGTAAGAATTAGCCAATAAGAAACTAGAGCTAATGGGCCAAGCAGTGTCTTAATGAATACAGTTTCTGTGATTATTTTGTGTGTAAGCTAGCTGGGTGGACGGGATGAACAAGCAGGCCCTCTCCTTGCAACACTATTGCCATAAAAGAGAAAAGCCATGTTTATCATCTCAGTGAGTAGAAGCACAAGAAGTAGTTTAATCTTATTCTCCCACAAAAGTGCTTTGTTTTGTTTTTGAAATGAGGTCTCCTATATCCTGGGGCAGCCTCTAACTCTTTAGTAGCTAAATATGACCTTGAACTCCTGGGCCTCCTGCCTGTACCTCGAGTGCTGGGACTGCAGACACAAGTCACTACACCCAGCTTAGGGAGTTCCAGTGATGAGCCCAAGGCTTTGTGCATGCATTCTAGGGAGACACTCTGCCAACTGAGCTACACTGCAGCCACTAAAAAGCTGTTGAAGAATATTTTTATCAAGGTTTTGTGAGGATTTATATTTCCATTTTATATACTTAACTAGATCTATTAAAAAGTTTTTCATTTGCATAATGAGTTATATGATCCACAGGGCTATAAGTTTAATTTTGGCTTCTGCTTATGATATGGTATACATTTTATTGAAAAGGGAAAAAAAAGGTAACTGGTAATACTGGTAATACTGCTATTAATAAAGCTGGGTAAAACATTTACATTAGAAAACAGACTCATTTAAGTTGTATGTCTGACTGTGTGCCCTGTACAGCATATAGAGACAATAGCAAATGAATTTCATGTTGTGAACACATACTATTCAGGGGCAGAAATTAACTTCTTTTTTGTCTCAAGATCTGAAAGTATAAGCAGGAACTTTGGTAGACTGCCGGCAAATTGAGTTTAAATAAGATTTATAAATTGGCATTGGAAATAAACACCCTTGTGACTGAGCACACAGACCTTCAAAGGCCAACTCATTCCTATGTTCAAATTCACAGGCCAGCATTCGTATGAGGTTTACACTTTTGTTAAAATTCCATATTCACATATGATTTTTGTTTAATTCACAGTCACTGCCACTTAATTTCAACCCCCGAGCGATGGCAAAAGGAAAGAAATAAGGAGCAGAAAAGAAAAGAGTAAGTAGTTTTAGGAAAACATTGGAAAAAAAAAAAAGAAACCTTGGAAGCTTGGAAGACATCAAGATGCAGACTTCATAGTTTATAGATACAATGTTTTCCACTTACTCTTCACCCCTTTCTTCCCCTTTCTCTCCTTTTTGTACTGTTCCTTCAGTTTGGTAATTACTCCCTGGTCCACATTCCAGGCTTCAGGCACGAGACACTGATCTTCCTTTTCTAAACAGAGTGAGACAAACAGTCTTTCTTCAATAAAATACCAAATACTCTAAATCAATATCTGAAAGACACAATGATTTTCTTCACAATACCACTTACCAAAAAAAGAAAAGTCATTTTTATACTCAGATAGGTGACAGACAAAATGTAACACCTAACAAAGGTCAATTCAGTTTTCTAATTGACAAAACATTTCCCTTAAAAAAAGACAGAAAAAATAAATCTAGATATTTCATTAAGTCCAGGCATGTTATAATCATTTTCAATGTATTTCATATCATATGTATACAATGATAGAAGACTATTATTAAAAGACTACACGGAATCATCTTAAATGGTCTTTTCAAGAGTTCCAGCCAGGGAAATAGTTATTAGTCAGCTTCCTCCTGCAGCAGCTGGGAACAAATACAGAGACCCACAGCCAGACATAAGCAGAGAGTGATAGCCTTGAAACACTCAGCCCTAAATAGGATGTTTCCATCAAATCCCTCGCCTCCAGGCTGAGGGAACCCTGTAGAAGAGGAAGCTGAAAGAGTGTAAGAGCCAGAGGGGATGGAGAACACCAAAAAAACAAGGTCCTCCACACCAACAGATCAAAGCACAGGGTCTGCACAGGTCTGCACCAGGTCCTCCACATGCATGTGTGTGTGTGTGTGTGTGTGTGTGTGTGTGTGTGTTTCTATAGGACTCCTGAGTGTATGAGCAATCACTATGCCTTCTTTGAGCTCTTTTCCTTCTCTTTGTCTTGTCCGACCCAGATGTGTTAGTTTTGTTTTATATTATTAAATTTTATTAAGATATAAATCCTTTTTAAAAAGATAATTATCCAAAACAAGAAAAGAAAGAAAAGAGAGGTTTATGCTTTAGGCAGGTGCTACTGACTTTATGAACAACGCTAGATCCACCAGTGAGTACTTGAGGAGCAGAAGTCTTTACCTACAAGACCCAGGACATGGAAAGTACTTGATCAATCTATTTGCTGAATTAACATTGGGATTACCTGAAGTAAATAAGAATAAAAAAAAATCTATTTTTAAAGTAATTTAAGTTTCAATCCAGTTTAGTAAAGTGACTGGTTAGATAGCTGATGTAATATTAATCAGTAGTAGGAAGAGTCTATTCTTCCAGAAGGACTAGCCAATTTAAAAAATGCTGATTTTGGGGGGCCGATGACATGGCTCAGAGGTCAAGAGCACTGGCTGCTTTTCCAGAGGTCCTGAGTTCAATTCCCAGGAACGACATAGTGGCTCACAACCATCTCTAGTAGAATCTGATACCTTCTTCTGGCATAAAGGCATGCATGCAGATAGAGCACTCATAAACATAAAATAAATATTTTTAAAAATGCTAATATTTGCCAAGTCTTTCAAAATTTTTATTTAATTATTTGAGTGTATGTATGTGTGTGCACACATGCGTGTGCATATGTGCGTGTGTCCTATTCCCGAGAGTTGTAGCACACACGTGGGGTCAGATGACTGTTTGCAGGAGTAGGTTCTCTTCTTCTACTATGTAGGTTCAAGGGACCAAACTCAGGCTGTCGGGTTTGGCAGCAAGCAGTTTTGCTTGCTAAGTCACCCTGGTAGCCTTAAAGACAGAACAATGAACTGGTTGCTCTTAAATCTTGAAATAATTTTATCTGTTAAAGGGAAAAATTGGTCTTCTTATAGTCTCAGGGACTCATAAGAACAACACTCACTACTGTAATCTTAGCTGTCCTGGAATTCACTATATGCCAAGGTTGGCCTTGAACTCACAGAAATCCACCTGCTTCTGCCTCCCAAGTTCTGGAATTCAAGTTGTACATCATCATGCCTGGCAGTTAAAAAATTCTTTTCTTTAAAAAAAATAAATAAATCAAGGCCAGGAGCTGGACTGACGGCTCAGAGAGGTTAAGAGCACTTACTGCTCTTGCAGAGGACTGGAGCTTGACTATCAACACCACATGGATAGATCACAACCATCTGCAACTCCAGTTTCAGGGGCTCTGACGCTCTCTTCTCACTTCCTCGGGCACCAGGCGTGTACATGATACACAGACATACGTGCCGGCAAAATACTCATACAGATAAAATAAAATAAATCTAAAGACAAAAGTTTAGATAAGATTCAAGGCCCAAATCTATCAACTGAGAGTGTCTACTTACACTCACTAACTGACCTAGCACACAATCACACTAAATTAAAGTGTACATACACTGGCGCACAGCTAGTACCACTGGGCTGTGGCTCTTTGGTTAGAGAGTTAGTTATATGAGGGAGAATCCAGCTGCCTTTGCAGAAAAGCCAGTTCCAGGTGTGCCTGCAACAAGACTAGCAAGGAAAGACAGTCCTATCTGTGCTGAAGACCTCACCGGGCACAGTGCAATGCTAGCCCAGCTCCTGCACTTGGGAAGCTGTTACCTAAAACACCTAAGTAATGAGAAATAAGCTCAGGCAGAGAAGGCAGAACACAGACCTGCATGTTCTCCTTTATTTTCAAACTTTGGCATAATCTATAAAAACCTAAAGAAGCATAGAAACCATAATTTTCTAACATAATTTGTTTTATGTAGACGATGTAAGACATAAGAAAAATAAATTCCTCTATTACATCTTCATACTCAAGTTTCCCCCAAAATCTAGATCAGCAGGTTCTGTTTGTCTGAAAAAAAAGCAAATTAGCCCGTTTTAATTCAAATTCTTTTCATACCATATTCCTTATATTTAAAGGAGGAGGAGGAGACAACAGTTACATAATCTTCCTCAGAGGAAATCACACAACCTGGACAATCACTGATGCGTAGCATCTCAGAATCACACTGCTTCCAAAACATCACCCTCCTGGCAAAACATGAATTCAACGCATTCATCAGATCTCTGACTGGACACAGTATACTTCCTTACCCCAGTCTGTTCCATCGCCTGCACTTCTAGATTCGCTGTCTCCGTCCTCTGCTGTGGCAAGGAAGTCGAACTCCTTCAGAGCTTCCTTAGTGTCTCCATCTTCACTGGTGTCAGGCAATGCTTTCTTCCGAACAATCTAAGGCGGGGGGGACATGTCAAATTAAAATTATTAGTAAACACTACTCATTTAACTTAAACAAAAGAGACACTATCCCCTTGTAATTAAGTAAGCAAAGCAACTATTTCCTTTGGAATGTATTTGCTATATTAAAAAAAGAAAAATTGCCAATACTTTACGCAGTAAAAAACACATTGTATCCCCCCATATAGGGTTTCTATGTAGCACATTGTATTTTTTAAAAACAAACATTGTACATGTTAAAGCCGTAATTTAAACTTTGTTCAAGGGTATGATAGCTTACTTAAACTAAGATAGATAGATAGATAGATAGATAGATAGATAGATAGATAGATAGATATAGATCTAAATGGATAAGTAAAATTTGTACTTAAATTACACAATTCATGTTATAAGAGCAATTAACTAACATTCCTTAGATACAGTCTGTGCAGTCTTCAGACATTCTGAACTAACCCAAACAAGACACATTCTTTAACTGTGAAATGTTTCCTGACTATAGCCATGATAACTTAATATAACTACAATATACCCTCACAAAATCCATGTCACAACTACAAACTCAGAAATGAATGTCTTAGGAATAGAAACACTGTAAGGTTCCTACATTATTTCTACTGTCCTCGACTTCTCTAACAGCTCTGTTTTACTTCCTGTTGTACTATGTATCCCTGGGTAGTCCTGAAGCTGAGCTGCTCCTGATTCCACAACACTGGGATGAGACGCATGCCCCATGTGCCCAGCGTAGATCTACACACATTCAGTTCCCCCTAAAACACTGAATATGCAGAATGATATAACTCAGACTTGTACCAAACCACAAATCCAGTAGTATTAAAGGGTAAACCTAATAGGGAGGGTTGAGCCCAACATGCCTGTGCTCTATGGCAGGAAACATAGGAAACAGGAAAAATCATGAGGTATTTAATGAGGCTGTAATTCTCTGCTTAGAGTTATTACTTAAGTATTACTCTAAAATCAAGAAATCGTACTTATAGTACTTCTCAACCTAACAGTTAGCAAACCAATTAAACACAAATAAAAATAAAAAATAACAAAACCCATAAGACAACCACAGCAGGTTCTGAACAGAGAGCCCATATTAAGGAGATTGCTCAGCAATTAAGAGCACTGGCTACTTTTCTAGAGGTCCTGAGTTCAATTTCCAGCACCCACATGATGACTAACAACTGTCTGTAACTCCAGATCCATGGATTCCAATGCCCTCTTCTGGCCTGGCCTCCATGGACAGAAGAGCACACACATGGATGCTCAAAAAAACGAACAGGCAAGCTATCCACACACATAAAATAAAAAACAAACAACAAAAAACCAAAAAAAAAAAAAAAGGAGGCACCATCAGGCAACCCTACCCTCACAATTCCACATATAAATGCACCAGTTACGTCTAAAGGTTTCATGTCTCCGTCTCTGTTAGGGGACCAGCTTGCTTCAGAGGAGCCATCACTAGCCTCAAGATGAAGAGTTCTTGTTCTCACTGCCTAACAAAGGGGACAGGGAAAATCCAGAAGTAGCAACCAGAACGCCAGACATCTCAATGTCTTATATGTCTTAGCAGTCTCAGAGTATTTGGGGCTCTAGTAATTACTAAACATAGTATTAAGTCACAAAAGCAACTCGTAGGACAGACACGTTTCTAGACCTTAAACAAAATGAGATAGGCACCAAGTGTATCACTGTCATTACAGATCATGCCTATCAAGTCTCATTTTCAATAAACAAACTGAAGTCCTGTGTTTTCTTATGTATTTCTTAGGTATAAAGAAAAAAGAACTGAGGCTGCCAAATGAATATATGATCAGTAAAGAGAAAGGGATAAAATCTGTAATAGTAATCCTTCCCTTCCCTACATAGGAAATTCCCCACTTAAGAAATTAAGGAGAAATGAATAGCAATGGATACGATCACAGAAACGCACAACTGTATACAACACAGAGATCAACAGCTTGAGGGGAATCCAGTCCCAGTGGGTACATCCACATCACAGCTCCTGCATCTATGGCAGCTGGGGTAGGAACTGTAGGAGACAGAATACTAGCAAGTCCGCTGTGAAGCAGATGAAACAGTCTGTCCTAGAAATAGCTGCAGACAGGACAAGAACAATAGCAATGACATAGGACATGTTAACATGAAAGGGGGGAATTTTGCCAAGTTCCACCCCAGAAGCAACTATAACTGCTGGGAGGAGAATTAACCTCTCCCAGGGATGAGCCCCCTTACTGGTTGCTCACTGCAGAGTGGTCAACTCTGAAACCACATATATACAAACAACAAAAAGAGATCCAGGCTGTGTTTGTATATACAGCGTGATACAAATGCATACATACACATACATGCATACATTTATGTAACAATAACAATTAAAGAGAGGCCACTGAAAACATAAACAAGGATAAAAAAAGAAATGAGTTATAGGCTAGACTGAGTTTCAAGCAGGTTAGAAAAAAGACAACTCTGAAAATCACTAGAATCCTAGTGATCCTAATATGAAAAATCAGTATTCCTTAATTACTGAGACAATACCTAACACTTCCTAATTCCGTTGCTGTTTCCTCATTCTTGAATAAGGCAATTGTTTCAGCAGAAACTATCTCTTACACCGAAAAAAGTAACATCTTGATGCATGTACAATTTCAGGATCCTAGCTCTTCTAAGGTGATGAGGATGATATGCTAATGACGTAATGAGGGAAGAGGTTGAACAAAAGATGAAAATGTTCTAGATGGCAACACAAGGAACATTCAAACCCTGAAATCAAGCAGAAAAAAAGAGCAGAGTGTGCGGCCAGAGACCCCATGCACAACAGCCTAAATGCAGTCAACGGTACCTAAGAGCCGTATTCTCTCACTTCAAATTAAACCTTTTTTTTTTAAAAAAAAAAATTAAACTTAAAAACAAAACAAACCAGTGTCTCTCTGTGTAGTCTTGGCTGTCCTAGAGCTCACTGTGTAGACCAGCATGGCCAAGAACTCATAGAGATCCTCTTGCCTGTCTCCAGAGTGCTGGGAGCCTCACTTTAAAATATTTTAAAAACCTACTTGTTCTATGAGCATGTTAATAGGACAAATTTCAACCAATTTCTCTGTATAGAATTTAATTCATTTCCTAAGTCATGCTTACCATTCTATATAGTGAAAGCTTTTAAGAATCCTTCTGACATGCACCTATCAGGCTGTGCCTAACATGAAAATTTACACAACACAATGTAAATCTTAATAAAACTGTTAAGAAAAATAGCCAGTTGTTTGAATATCGTTTTCTTCTTGGGCTGCTGTGTTGCATTTGCCTAGTAAACACAAGACTTGGGTTCAGTGCCTAGCATGGGATGAAGATGAAGGAGAAAAGTATTTAAATGTGGCGAATGGGTAAGTCTGTTTCCAACAGATGCACCTTCACACATACTCATAATAGCCTATGGTCTGTGCTAACTAGAATGTCACCAATACTTAAGAATATTATTATATAAAAAGAAATTAAATGGTTAGGAACTAGGAAAGCAAATGGTTAGGCTACTGTTAGAAATTTTTAATCTAATCATTTAACACACTTTTAAAGTCAATTTATTTAGATTGATATAATTACCAACAAAGAAACATAACACGAGTTATTTGCTACTAGGCAATGAATAAAGTTTTTTTAATAGGAAAATGGTATCTCAAAATAATCATCACACCAAAAACCATGAGGAACCATACAACTTCAGGTAATTAAGACAAAGAAAAAGTGACAGACATTTAGGCCAGCACATACTATTATAACTTGTTTAGTGAAGGGAACTTTGTATTCAAATGTATCTATGACAGGGCTAGGATCTGCACTGTAAATGATTACTGCACTGAGAAAAGGCACACGCCTGGCTGAACAGTGAAGCATGTCTTCATCCCTTACTTTAAAGAGGAGAAAGGGGAAGCAGCGAAAGGAGAAAAAGAAATAAAGGGGGAAAAAAGGAGGAGGGAAGAGACTAGAGAAAGAAGGAACAGCAACTTAGAGACACTTCTTACTGTAGGAAATGTATGGTTAAGTCAATAAACTTTAATAAAGATGGAATAAAAACACCTAGGAATTCTAAACAACTCAAGAAAGACATGGGGGAATTCCTGAAATCTGCAGAAATTGTCTGTGCAGCAGCTCTCCTAAGAGACAAAAACTACAAGTCTCAGAGCTGAAGCCAGCTGCCGTCAGGCACCACCATGTGTCCGTCAGTTCTCCCGTCATAATTAACAACACCGGGGCATTGTTACAACATGCAGCATTCAGTATCTCTGCACTTTTATGCAGATGCTGCCTTGTCTAATGAGTAAACAAAAGGTCTGAGTATTCTATGGGAAAGATTCTATACTAAAAATATTATTGAAATTAAAGTAATAAAAACACTTTATTCGCCCTAAATTCGTGAAAAGAATTTAAGTACTCAAGATGTAAAGGACATGGGCTTTTTAACATATGCATTATGGCACATAACATATTGGAAAATGAGTTCTCTAACTCACTGTTGAAGTATCAATGACACTTTTCTCTCTTCCATCAATGTCTTCGTCCTCATCTTCATCACTGAAATCTGCAGCTGCATTTTCAAGGAATTTGAAGTTGTCCAGCACAGAAGCAGAATCCGTTAACTCGGATTTTCTGGTTTAAAACATGTACAACCATACTCAGGTAATCTTTCAAAACGTCACCATAAAAATTAACTGCTAACAGACTTTGGTAACTTATATTATATATGACCCCCTAACTATAATATGACCTACACTGTTTCCCATCTATTACATTTCTGTGGATTAATTGAAACAGTAAGACAAGAAGTATTCAAAGCCGGATGGTGGTGGCACACGCCTTTAATCCCAGCACTCGGGAGGCAGAGGTAGGCAGATCTCTGTGAGTTCGAGGCCAGCCTGGTCTACAAGAGCTAGTTCCAGGACAGGCTCCTAAAGACACAGAGAAACCCTGTCTCGAAAAACCAAAAAGAAAAAAAGAAGTATGCAAGCACTTCAGTCATCTTCAATCACAGCTGGCCAGAAGAGCAGCCCTAAGTTCCCTTCTGAGCGAGCAGATTATCTTCATGTTAATATAATCATATATATTGTTTTAAGTAGCTCTGCCTCCATCTTTCTCTAGTCTTTCTCCTCTGTAACTCTTCTTTAACCTCTAATATAAGTATCCATAACTATATAACAAATCTACTGACTTAAAAGGGAGAAATACAACTAATTCATGGCATGCACATCTTGTGTGTCTCTAAGGAGAATTGTGTTGCAATTTTAAAAGGTCCAAAGGCATTTATTTATAATTTTTTTTTATTTTGGACCTTCGTCTAATTCCATATTTTTATATTTCAAACAACAGGAAATGGTTTCCCAAAGAAATTTACAGAGTTCAATAAATCATTCTTTTATCCTAAATATGTATCAAGACAAAGTCAACACAGACTTAGACATTCAAAGAATCTTTGTTTTTTTTTAATTCAGTGAAGATTTATGACAAATTTCTCTAATAAAGAATAATTCTATTAAGCTATTTATGTTCATTTAAGTAAAATTATGTCTATGGTCTATGGTCTGAAACAAAAATCAAACAGTTCAAATAATTTTTGAATTTTTATAATCTATTCAAATTATATGTTTATTTGTGTATATACATATATATTTAAAATAGCTATTTTATATCAAAGGTAAAATAAAGTACAATATTGTGTTATACATGAAATGATTAAGAAAATATTTACTTTCTGATTTCTGTTTCATCAATAAAACATCATTATTACATATCTGTATTTAATTGGAACATCTTTTATGAGATTCTAACAGTGGTTAACAAAGCTTCAAGATACTAAAGTTTGTTAAATACCTCAATTTAAAGCAAATAAAATACCTTAAACAAAAATTATGTTCCTGAGTTAAAATAATCATAAAGGTTTCTAACTAATTGAAACTTTTTTATTATAACATTTAATTAACTAAACTTATTACTAAGTCACCATTAAAAGTTCAATGCCTTCCACACCAAAACTATTCAATAAAAACTGAAGTTATGGCTAAAACAATTTCCAGTTAAAATACTCACCCAATCATTGCTGTCTCCTTAACTTCAGCCTCTGTGCCATTTATAGCCAAGTCCTGGTTTTTGTCATCTTCCCTGTCAGTGACATCACTTGAAAAGCCCAACAATGCTCGCACTCTTTTGGATTTCACATCTAGAATAGTATCTGTGTAGCCAACCTCCTGGAGATACCTGCACAAAGACGTTCCTTACAATTCAGTCACACAGGAATTAGCATTGTAAACTTTAAAACGTAAATAAAAGTATTTCTTCAAACTCACTGACTACATAGGGATCAACAGAACAGTACTATGTTAGTAAGACTTGTTAATAATATTCCAGCTGCAGATGGAGCTGCCTCTTGCAGTACCAGCCTCTACAGTCACTGAGAAAAACTGAAGAAGTATACAATAACACTATTCATTTATCCTAAGAAGAAACTGTTCTTCAGTGTGTTTCAGAGCACACTTTCTTCTTTAGGAAGAATAGAACAATCTCCTCCCAAACTCTACCATCACTATTTTACAATAATGGCTCCAGTTGTTTTTAGCATTTCTTATGTGAAGTGTCATTAACTGAAATCTGGAGAGAATGTTTCTAATCTAACTGGTTTCTTTCCAGAACATAGAAAAGGATAACATTTTTCATAAGTCACTTGTAGAAGAGACATTTCTGTCTTGAGAAACTCTAAAACAAAATAGACAATTAAATTGTGGGGCATGAGGTATACAGACTCGTATCAGTGTGTGTAGTTCCAGGGAGTCAGAGGCACAGTAAAAAGAGCATAGCGTATGCAGTCATATCTAGGTCTTAAGCCCGTTTCTGCCACTTCCATGTGCAGCCTTAGTTTTGTTAAACTGTTTCTATTCTCATCAACGAGTCCTAATACCACCCATAATATATACAAAAGCAACCAAGAGTCCTAACGTCAACTGTTGATAATAATTTGTTTTAAAAGACCAAAAGTGATAGTGGTGGAACCAGAACAAAAGAAATGACATGGATATCACAACAGATGACACACATTTATCTATATAGTAGGTGTGCATTCTACCAAAGGAAACATGAAAACAAAAGCTGACAAGACAGTTTAAATTCAGCTTACTTCAGGTTTTCATTTTTTTATAGCTACGAGAGCTGAAAGGCACCTCACAAAGCTATGTGATCAATACATCTTATTAAATCAAGATTTCACTTTTCAGTTCCATTCAGTATCTACAGAAAAGTCTTGATTTAAAAATTTGAATAAACTTCTACTTATTGAATTGAATCAGATGTTTTTGAAAACTACTATAATAAAATAAGACATAGGTTTTAGGCTTTTTCATGAGCATGAATGTACCACGTGAGTGCCTGGTGTCTGCAGCAATCAGAACAGCACATCAGATGCCCTGGGACTGCAGTTACGAACGGTGCTGAATCACCATATGGGTTATGGAAACCAAACCAGGGCCTCTGAAAAAGTAGTCAGTGCTTGAAACTAATGGGCCATCTCCAGGCCATTTTTCTTAATAATTAATATTTGGTATGTACCTCACTTTGGCAAAAACACTAAATCACAAATTCCTGTTTACAAAACCCATTAAGTTACCTAGGCTAGCCTTCAATATGTAATATTCCTTCCTGAGCCTCCTCAACTGTGTTGGCGACAGGTGTGTGCTGTTGAGGAGGTTCAGGAAGGAATATTACAAATTCAAGACTAGCCTAGGCAACTTAACGAGTGCATGTCAATAAAGACATGTGTAAACAGCAGACAGGAGGTCAGTGTGGCTCAGAAGTAGATCATTTGTGAGGCTTGGCAACGACAGAACCAAAATATCACAGTACCAAAAATAAATTTAAAAGGACAATACATGTCATAGTTAAGACTGAAGTGAGAAGAGTAACGAAAATCCACTTACTAGTTTAATTTTTTTTCTAACTTTGCCTAGATAAAAGACAAGCATGAAATATTGTAATGTTCTCTTTCTAGACTCAAAAGTAATGGATGGCATTAATCTACTTTGAAAATCTGAGAAATAAACTACTAATAAGCCGTTCTAAAAGTCCAAGACAGAACAAATTTTCTTTTATTTTGGCATACATCAGCACACCAGTTTCCAAGACTACAGGTCTAGTCTTCGACTTGACATCAGGACCTCTGTAGACCCCTAGTTATGCATTTAGGAGTAAGTAGATGTTAGGCAGCACCTGCAAAATTCAGGGATCCAAAGAGTTCTTCAGTGTAGTGAGAAGGCTTGTAACACAAATATATATGGGAATCCTTACTGGTTTGTAGTGAAACGTCTATGCTTAGAGAGCTGAGGAAATGAGAATAATAATGACACAGAATTCTTTTAACTACACAAATTCCAACAGTGGGGGGAAAATGTAAATATGAAAAACAAATAGTAAATCAATTAAGCTTTTTAAAAACTACCCTACTATTTACTACTCTGAGCTGTGGTATAATACAAGGGAAACTTAATGAGTTAAAAATAAAAACAAGGGTGCTGAGAGATGGCTTCGAGGTTAAGAGCACTGGCTGTTCTCCTAGAGGTCCTGAGTTCAATTTCAGGCAACCACGTGGTGGCTCACAACCATCTATAGTGAGATCTGGTGCCCTCTCCTCTTCTGGCATGAAGACATACATGCAGGCAGAACACCATATACCGAATAAATAAATAAATCTTTTAAAAAAATACAAACAAAAGAGCATGAAACAATTTTCTCACTTGCAGCAAGCTGTGCGTTTACCCTTCAGTACTTACTGTCTGAGGAGCTGGCGGCCTTGTTTCCACATCAACTGACTGTTGGGCTGCGGCTGCGCCTCTGTTTCATTGCCTTCATCTAGAGAATATTATAATGTAATTGACATATTTGACATGTTTAGGCAACCCAATTCATAAACAGTGTCCAATAAACATTATAAGATTAAGAATACAAAAACTGTAACTTATAAGAGTTATGTTTTAGGCCAATATAAACTTTTTAACTCAAATCTTAGTAATAAAAAACTCTGTATGATTAAGTATCTCTATTGGATTCTCTTTAGAGCAACAGAATTAAGAATAAACACATTTTTTTCTTTCATTTTTCACTAGCCTGAGAATTTTCTTCCAGTGAGAAGTAAATAGAAATATTATAAAACCTAGAAGTGGTAAAAGTAAAGTAAACAAAACCCCCAAACAGTCTGATACAAATACATAAAGAAATTATCTCAGAGTCAGGTGGTGGTGGCACATACTTTTAGTCCCAGTACTTGGGAGGCAGAGGCAGATGTTTAAGAGCTGATGTTAGAGGCCAGTCTGGTTCCGAGTGAGTTCCAGGACAGCCGGGACTACACAGAGTAACCCTGTCTCAAAACAAAGCAAAATAAAACAAAATGAACAAAAGAACGAATGAAAGAAATGATCTCAGCTAGGGATATGATGTGGTTCCGTGGGTAAAATGCTGGCCAGAAACACTAAAGCATGCATGGGCTCTACCCCAAGCACTGCATGTAACCAGGAATGCTAAAGCATGCATGGGCTCTATCTCAAGCACTGCATGTAACCAGGCATGCTAGCACACGTTTACAATCTACACTTGGGAGGTGGAGACAGGAAGATCAAAAGTTGAAGCCCAGCCTGGGTTCTCAATATCTTAATTGCTAAGCCATTTACCAAACCCCAATAAAATTCTTTTATGCACAGTAACTAGACCTTTGTACTACTAAACAGCTCTATAAATTCTATGGTGGAGGGAACTAAAATAATTGAAACACACACAGCAGCGTTTAATCAAAGCACTGCAATAAACACACTGCTTTGAATCAGATACTACATACCTATGATAGTCTTTTGAAAATTGCCTATTTTTTCTTTTTTAATGGTGTTTTGCTGGAGCTTCAGGGTGATGGTTCAATCAGTAAAGCACTTGCTACATAAACTTTGCTACATAACTTTGAGTTAAGTCCTAGCACTCACATTTACAAAAGTAAAATTATTTAAAAAGCAAAACAAGGGGCTGGAAAGGTGGCTCAGTGGTTAAGAGCACTGTTGCTCTTCCAGAGGTCCTGAGTTCAATTCCCAGCACCCACATGGTGGCTACAACCATCTATAATAGGATCTGATGCCCTCTCTGGCATGCTGAACACACATACATAATACATAAATAAAATTTAAAAATTTAAAAAAACAAAACAAAACAAAAAACCAGTCTGTGTCTATAATCCCACCACTGGGGAACTGGAGACAGAGAGGTACCTGAGGTTTACTGGTCAGTCAGTCTGTCTAGCTGATCTGGGAGCGACAGGTTCTCAGAATGAAGAACTGTGCCTATAGGACCCTAGCTGAGCACACCAGTAGACAGGCCCTGTCGTAGGGCTGCCAACCTGTTCAGCCCACCACTCGGCCTTGGGCCCTTCCAGTTGCTTACACTAACTAGCTCCCCTGGGTTCTGTCCTCTCAGGCTCCTCCAACTAAAGACAATGGAAATTTTTTAAAAAATGAATTAAAACTCACAGGTTATTGAAATACCACATGAAGACTTAATCTATGAATTATAGACATAAGAGAAAGAGAAAGAAAATAATTCTAGGTCAAAGGCGTTCAACACATCTTCAATAAAACCCCGGACAGCCATTCAGTACAAGGAGTACACAGAGCAAACAAGACCTGAGAAGAACTCCCCACACTAAATACACATGGGGAAAGGGGAGGGGTGTTAAAAATTAAAGAAATAAAATCCAAGCTTCCATGTAGAGCAGGCCCATGAGAATAAAGCTGACTTCTTGGTGGGAACTTTGTGACTAACAACCAGCCTACAGCGAATACAAGGAACACTCTGGGATGAACAGGAGGATGAGCATACTCAAAAGGCTAATAGGAAAAAGATTAATGGTGACAGGTTAACAGGTAAGCCAAGTAAGACTGCTACACACTACAAAATCAGCAACGACAGTGATTAATACCTACCTTCCAATAACAGTTCCAAGTACCAGGGCCCTCAAACCCCCAATTAAAAGATACAACTATATTAGAACCAACTGTCCTAGAAAACAGGGTCCACCTTTCTCTTGTCTACAAGAAATACACCTCATGCTCAAGGATAGATACTGAGTGAACAGATCCAAAGAAGGTAACTACAACCAAATGGACCAGGAAACAAAAAGATATATCACTACTCAATACCTGACAAATGGACATCAGCCAAAACTAATCAGAGAAAGTAAAGAAGGCCACTTCCTTCTATCAAGATAACAACCCACAGACCACATTATAATTGTAGGCATTTAAGCACCAAATCCAGGGCATCCTAATTCATGAAATACTAGTAAACATTAAGCCAGATTTAACCACAATAAAGTAATGGTAGGTCACTTCAATGGCCAGTTTTACAAATGGGCAGGTTTCCACACAAAAAATAAAGAGAAACATTAAAGTTAAATGTCATCAAGTACAAAATGGACTTAACAGATATCTACAGAATTTTCTGCCCAAACCTTAAAGAATTCCTCTCAACAGCCCATGGAAGTTTCTCTAAAACAGACATGTTCTGGCACACAAGGCAAATCTCAACAAATCAGAAAAATTGAAATAACTCCATGTATTCTCTCTGACCACAATGCAATAAAGCTTGATAACATTAACAAAGAAAACACACAAAGTAAGGGAGACTAAAAGCACAGTAAGTATGGAGCTAGTGTGCTGGACAGACCTGAGTCCCAGGTCTTGGAGGCAGAGGCAGGCAGATCTTTGTGAGTGAGACCTGCATGGTCTACATGCAGAGGCTACATAGTGAGGCCTGATGAAACAAAACAGGACAAAGCAAAGTAAGACAAGATAGGATTAAATGTAAAGTAAGACAAGACAGGATTAAATGTAAAGTAAGACAAGACAGTATTAAATGTAAAGTAAGACAAGACAGGATTAAATGTAAAGTAAGACAAGACAGGATTAAATGTAAAGTAAGACAAGATAGGATTAAATGTAAAGTAAGACAAGATAGGATTAAATGATGGATGGACCACTGAAGAATGAAGAAAGGAAAAAAAATCCTTGGAATGAAATGTGTGAAAACACAATATACCAAAACCCCTGAGATAAAATGAAAGCAAACCGAAGAGGGAAACGTATAGCTTTAAATACCTCAAATAGGTGATTACTTATGCTGGAGAGGATGTGGGGAAAAGAGAACACTACTGCATTGCTGGTGGGAATGCAAGCTGGTACAACCCCTTTGGGTGTCAATGTGGTGATTTCTCAGAAAATTAGGAAACAACCTTCCTCAAGACCCAGTAATATCACTTTTGGGTATATATCTAAAGGATGCTCAATCATGCCACAAGGACATGTGCTCAACTATGTTCATAGCAGCTTTGTCTGTCATAGCCACAACCTGGAAACAACCTAAATGCCCCTTGACCTAAGAATGGATTTGGAAAATGTGGTTCATTTACACAATGGAGTACTACACAGCAGAAAAAAATAACAACACCCTGAATTGAAAATGGATGGAGCTAGAAAGCATTATTTTGAGTGAGGTAACCCAGATACAGAGAGACAATTATCACATGTACTCACTCATAGGTGGTTTTTTAAACATAAAGCAAAGAAAGCCAGCCTATAAACCACAATCCCAGAGAACTTAAGACAATAATGAGGACACTAAGAGAGACTTACATAGATCTAATCTACATGGGAAGTAGAAAAAGACAAGATCTCCTGAGTAAATTGGGAGCATGGGGACCTTGCAGGAGGGTTAAAGTGGGGAGGGGAGAGGCAGGGAGGGGAGCAGAGAAAACTGTAGAGCTCAATAAGTATCAATAAAAAACTGAAATTAATGAGACACACACATTTATATAAAATAGATCAACATATTTTAAGGTAACTGTCCTAAATTAGGCTAGAGTGACATCACTGATGATACTACATTTCACATCATTATTTATACAGATAACATATTTTTTAAATGTTGTGATTATATGAAATCATAAACTGAATATTCTATTATTTCTTCCATAGTTTTGAAGAGCAATTAACTCTCAAAAGCTATGTGTGATGAGAAGGGATTGTTTATTCAACTGAACAAATAAGGGCATTTTTGTCCTGCAGTTGCTATGGACAAAAACACTAAAATTCAGAGTAACTGCCTCATTGGTGATTGTGACTGATATATAATGACTTGATAACATACTAAAAGAAAATGCACTGGCTACCACCCACAATGCCTTGCTTTATATAAAACAATGAATGCTAGTTTCAGCTGGATATATATTAAAGTTTTGCTATAGGTCCCCATTTATGATTTATGAATGAAATTCATGCCAAAGAAAAGTTCAGTTTAGGTTGAGATCACTCTATAATTTCTCTCTGGTTTCTCTGCTTTTTCTAACAAATTTTCATTCCACCCTATGATATTCTACAGGAAAAACAAACTTGGCAATCATCCTTCAAACATATAGATCATTAAACCTGATCAAAATAGACAGAAGTACACCATTAAAACCCTGCATATGCTGCTGTTCTTTAAATGCATAGAGACTTTTCATAAGGCATTAACAAGATTATACATGCAATGGGGTAAAAAGAAAAAGAAGAGTACCTTTTAATTAACAATGTGTTACCAAGGTGTGGAAAGACACATTTTGATGGAAATGATCATGGAAGGAATTTTAACATATCTTATTGAACCAATGAGGATGAGGGGCACCTATATATACTCTAAGACTTAGAAAACAGAGACAGGAGAAGACCAGAGATTGACTCAGTTACATAGGAAGTATGAGGGCAACTGCATGATAGTCATCTATAAATAAATAAATAAATACATAATGATTATAAAATAAATAAAATTTTGCATAAGTGTTAAAACTAAAAAACACAATACCTCAAATAGGAATAAAAAAGCAGAAAGAGGGACTGGAGAAGTGGCTCGGCAGTTGGGAGTATGCACTGCTCTTGCAGAGGATCCAGAGTTCAGTTCCCAGCATCCACATCAGCTGGCTCACAACCACTTGTAACTCCAGCTCTACGTGTCCTATGACCTGCTCTGGCCTCTACAGAAACCTACACTCAAGTTCACATGCACATGTTCATATATATCATACACACAATTTAAAATGAAAAATAAGAAAAGAATAAGACCCCAAATAAATACTTTAAAATGCACTTCAATGGTTTGAAAAGAAAAAAAAAAACAAAGAAATAGGTGGAAAGAAATTATCAAAACCGGAGCAGAAATAAATGAAACGGAAAAAGTGTAAAGAATGAAAGAAATGATGAGCTAGGACCTTGTAAAGAAAAACAGGACTGACAACCCTGAGCTGAATTAGCTAAAGACATAGAAAACTCAAATTAATAAAATTAGAGGTCAACCGAGAGACAACAGATAACTAAGAATTTGGGAAAACTTTAAGAACATACTTGAAATATTCTGGGATGTAAAGTGAGACCATTAGAATCCACTTTGGAAAGCTTCTCCATTGTACTCAAATGTGGAAAATGGGAAGAATATGAATTTCTGAGTCTGGTAAGCCTGAGTTCACTCCATTTACCACATCATTTAATGACTGGTTAACCTCAGGAAAATTCTCCAACTTCGTGACTTTTAGTTTTGCATAGATAAAATGAGAATAACAATATCTTCACTAAATGATTAAAGTTAATGAAGCCCTTAAAATTATAAGTAGGGATTTTAATAAATGACATACAAATGCTTGCTAATACCTCCACTATTTGAATAAGAATTACATATGAAATAGGACAGAAATTATGTATGGTAATAACTTTGGTACAATTTTCCTCACTCTTCATTTACATCTGCTAATGAACATACCCTGTGTTCCACTAAGTAAGAAAGTTCACCTAAGGAGTCAAGTTTGTTTGCTTTTTGCTGCTGGTAGTACTGAGGACTGAACGCAGGGCCTAGTACAGGCTAAGCTGCATCCCCAGCCCACTGAGGCATCATGCGTAAGAGATTCGCCAATTCCCTTATGCTCAGAGAAGAAACATCATGTTTCCATAGTTCTGCTCTTCAACGGGATTTCCGAACAGCATGCACTTTGGTATTCTCATGCCAAACGTGTCGGTTAATGCAAGGAAGATACACTAAGAAATGGCTGGTGCAGCCCATGAACCTTCTACTATATGTAAAACATAGGCAGAACACGGTGAACTAAAAAAGGGATGGAGAAAAGTGCTACAAAATGATCTCATGACACGAAATGATTAGTTTCCAAAAACAAGACAACAAAAATAACATGCAAATAGATGCTAACTTATAGTTTCAAATTTTTCTACAAAATATTAGATTTAACTTAAACTTCCGTTATAAGCAGCTTACCAGAATCATAGCTTGGAGGCTTCATGTCCCCCTGATTCAGTTCTGTCCCGTATTTCAACTTGTGGTATTTGGCTCTAATAAAGAAATGAGAAAATACAAACCATGTTAAATAACTTAAATACGCTTTAAGATATGTAAAAAAAAGTTATAAGTGTGCAACAGTCCCGGTTAAACATGCCTAGAACTTTCAAAGGCGCTGAGATTTCCATGGTGTCAAAGTTGTAACAACAACAACAAAACAAAAACTTGCCGTTTTGGTTGTTGAATCACCAACTGCCGTTATAACAAAGCAAACAAAGGGATAACACTAGGAATAAAAAATTTTATTTTATACCTAGGATGAACCACATAAATTCTAGTTTCTGTTGTATTCAAATTTTCTTAATGATTTTAAGCTGAATTATATCAATTAAGAAAAGAGGCCTTTACTATACAATTTAATTTGTTAAAACTAGCCTGTCTCAATACTTGGGTTTATCTTAAAAGGAAACATTATCTATATTGTTATGTGCCTTACTTGGTACTTACAATTCTCCAAATATTCTTATGGTGAGCAATCAGAGCATAGCAAAACCCAGATGAAGTCATCCTTGTGCAATGAGATAGCCTAGCAGTAGTAGTTAACATGTACTTTATCTTTAGTCAGAAAAAAAAACCATAATTAAGAAGACTGTCTAATTTCTTTTTAAAGTTAGCAGAGTATTATTATTTTCAGCTAACTGGACTAATCATCTAATGTAACCATCTCAGATCAAGGCAAATGAAACAAAAAAATTATCCACATAAGAAAAATTTAAGATTAAATAAAAATAACACATATGCTTAATATATTTGTATATTTTAACTCTTCTCTACAAGATAAAGGGTTTTTGTGAACAAATACTTGTAAGTTAAGATAAACAACAATAAAATATTCAAATAAAAATAATTTTCAGAACCAAAGCAAGAATGAAGGAAAAGGCAACATAGTCAAATTGAAAGCATTTCTTCCTTATTAAAAAAAAAAAAAAAAAAAAGAATGGTATGGGGGAAGAGCATGTGTTCTGGATAGATGGCTCATCAGTTAAGAGCACTGGTTACTCTTCTTGAGACATGATTCGAAGCACCTACATGATGGCTCACAATCATCTGTAACCCTAGTTCCAGGGATCAGGAGCCCTCCTCAGCAACGGGCACATGCATGGTGCATGTACATACATACATATGTACACACATACATACATACAGGCAAAAAAAAACCCACACACAAAAAATTAAAGTTAAAATTCTTTTCAAAAAAATGGATGGAACCCTTATCCTAAGATTTTTATATAATTTAAAATTAGATCAAGAAAATTGTTCACTCCGATATATAAGTTACTGAAATCTTTCACTATTTCTCAATAATCATTTTGTAGCTATTGATAAAAACCGTATTTTTTATATAGAGGGGAGTCTTAAGACAATTTACAGATTATAGCCACCAAATTATCTAGAACATGCTTCTCCATATCCCAATGTGTCTCTTAACACAGTGATTTCATCACTGAACTAAAAATGTCCACATCTATTTCCATATACTAGATGATCAGAAGGTAAGCTGTGGAGATATTTGCCTGACTCCCTGTTAGAAGAAAGTAAACAGATTCTTAATGCAATTGTCATTCTTCAGATTTCCGGAAATAGTTCATCTGCCACAGACAAAGTCACACTAACTTCTTAAAAGTCACACAACTGACCTGACATCAGATAACACCAAATAAAAGTAGTCACAATATGAAGCTTATTTATATGATGTAAACACACAGGGAAAAAGCATTTCAATACAACACGCTGCATTAGAGTGCATTCTAGTGGTCTTAGAAAAAATTGCAACAGAAGTTAGTTTTAAAACAACCAGAAAACATTATATACAATATATGTAACAAGACAGTCACGTTATCAACTACTACTTCACAAAAAATTAAACCAAGATAAAATATGTAAATAACTGTTGTGTTTAGGACAAGCTCTGGCTCCTAAGATCTGTGTTTCCCTCTTATTAAATTTTCTAAATAAACTTTAGTAACAGCCCTCCTCAAACTTAGACCATCCTGAGAGAGAAAATGCTACAATGTTTCTCAAGAACTCATGGCTTCCTACTGTTTTGATACTTCAAGTCATTTTGTTAACAATCTTGTTTATTATTGTTTTCTCTGTCTCATGACCTACAGGATAACTACAGATCTCATTACTTCATATACACCTACACTCCCTACCCCCTAATAGCCTTTACTGCATAGCATAAAACATGTTTCAAAGTTATAATATACTAAAGAACTCTTATTTTAGCTTTGTTTAAAAACCAACCTCATAAATAAAATGTTGGGAATAAAAAAACGTGTCCAATCACATCTAAAATGCTAACACTAAAAAGAATGATCGTGTGTGTGTGTGTGTGTGTGTGTGTGTACACGCACATGTACAAGTGAGTGTACTGGTATGCATGCTCATGTGTTTCTGTGTAGAGACAGAAGACAAAGATAAATGTCTTCCACTATCATTTTGTATACTGTTTTTTGAGACAGAGTTTTCATAGAACTCAGAGTTTGCCATTTCAGCTACAATAAATAGCCCATCAGTAAATCTCAAGTGCCTATCTCTGCCCCCATGCTGGGGTTCTATTTAAGTACTACTGTGCCTGGTTTTGCTTTGTTTTTTGTGAAGGCTGGGGATCTGAACTCATGTCTTTATACTTGCATGGCAAGCACTTTACTAGCTGAGCCATCTCCCCATTCCCTAGTGATTAATTTCAACACACTACTGAATTCTTATCATATGCACGGTGGTGTGCTGACTGCTGGAAATAACCTGCAGTTTATCATGAAGTAAGAGTGAAAACAAGAGGATGCCTAGGACATAGGAAAATACAAAAAGTATTGCATACTGACATAAGCATTGTAAGCATATATCTGAAGGATGTGGACAAAGGATCATCTAACTCTGCAAAACATAGGTAACAGGAAATTTTGACTAAACCTCAATCATTAAGATGTACAAGAGATTTCTGTCCGGATTTGCACAAACGACTATTGTGTTTAGGACAAGCTCTGGCTCCTAAAACATAAACATCCAGTAGGTCAAAATACTATAAACACTAGGTATAGTGAGCAAAAGAATTAGAAGAAACAAAGTTCACAGAAGGTATCTGAAAAAAAAATGCTACTTACATAGGAATAGCTTTGAAATTAACCAGGTATTTCAAAGCAGGGATATATTATGATTATTCCTTTTTAAAATTGGAAAATTTTACCACTTATCTAGAAGATGAATTAGAATTTAGAAATAAAAAAAGCAAGAAGACAGTTGGACTATTACAGTAAAGATAAAAGTAACAATAAGTACAGAGAAATGGGAAACACAAGAGAAAGCTTCAAAGTTGGTTTTACATAGATTCCTTAAAATTAAATTGCTGAAAAAATGTGGAGTCAAACACTGCACTGTTAAAAAGAAATATGTAAGCCTCCTTATTCTGTAAAGTTTACTGTGCTTTACAGGAAGCTTTGATAAATTCATGCTAGGTGAGTAGTTCATCTATATTAAAGATCCAGTTCTTATTTTGTCTCTTTCAAGAGGGGAACTTAGAAAATCTACACTGATCTTTACTTAGCTGTTTATAGGTGAAATGGTATAATACTGAATCGTCTTTAAAATGGTTCGGGGCCATAAGAATGTAACTGATACTAAAAGTAGAAAATCAGAAGTGAGGTTCTGACCTCTGAATGGCCATTCTAGCTGTACAAATGTTAACCGGGATGCATGGCTGCAAAGGTGTTTGAGTGGCCACCTTAATCTTGCTGTATGATATTTCTATTTGTGATTGTATTGCAATAAACTGTTGTAACAAAATTAAATGTAAAAAACAGACCAGGGCAAAATAAATGACAAACACAGTAACTATTAAAGCTTGCAAGAGTATGTATAAAGTTACTAAGCTTGGTCTAGGAGATGGCTCCCTGGGTAAAGTACCAGCTTGCCCAGTATAAGGACCTAAGTTCAGATCCCCAGAACAAACATACACACAAAGCCAGAACAGGAGCTTATGTATGTAATCCCTGGAAGCTCACAGGCCAGGCAGCCTGACACAAGCAGTGGTAAACAGCAAGAGATCTGTCTCAAAAAAGAAGGGGAGGACGCACATTCAAGGTCACCCTCTGACCTTCACTCATGTACCGTAGTACATACACACTGTATAGCATGTGCACACCTATACTCAAACACAAGAACATTCACACACACACACACACACACACACACACACAATTTTTAAGTGGCTAATGTCTCCAAATTTTTGTTTCAAATGCCCTCAATCCATTTTTTCTTAATTCCTGGGATTAGGACTGAAAAGAAGTCAAAAGCTCCATGATATAAAGAACATGCTTTGTATCTATCTGTTAATATCCTCAAAAAGTGTCACTGCAGGGGCTGGAGAAATGGTTCAGCAGTTAAGAGCACTGGCCACTCTCCAGAAAACCTGGGTTTAATTCTCAGCACCCACAACATGGCAACTCACAACTTTCTATAACTCCAATTCCAGGGGAATCCAACACTCTCTTCAGGTCTCTGGGAATACTATGCCCACACATGGTGCACATATAGGCGAAACATCGACACACATGAAATACAACTAATCATAATAATGATGAATCTTTTTTAAAGTTTCATGTAGCTGTGCATGGTGAGGCATGCATATAATCCCAGCACCCAGAGACTACAGGGGTTCCACAGCTGATGAATGTGAACATCAAGACTCTGTCCAAAGGGAAAACAACTAACCAAACTGAACAAAACAAGTGCCACTGGATCGGAAAAACTCCCACATCACCTCACCAACACCCAGAAAACCAAAATTGGTTTTGAATCTCTCTGTTAACGGGGGTGGGTTAAGAAAAGAAAAGAAATCTCCCTAGACTTATCCAGTTCTTTCTCTTCTGCTCTACAACCATCTGCAAACAGTCAGGGGGTTCACCTGTCTCTTCTTTCCCTTCCCTCTGCTTCTTCCTGTGACCTGGCTCCTGTTCTTACCACCTCTGGGGAACTGTCCTGTCAAGGACATCAGCAGGCACCAATGGGCAAGCCCCAATGACTACACTCAGCCACAGCTTGCATGGAGACTGCACTGGCATCTGGCAGTGTCTACCTCCCTCTCCTTCCTCTTCCCAAACACGGCCTCTCCCTCCTTGGTGACTCTTTTTTTTGGCTCTTCCTCCTTATCCCTTCTCTAATGCACCTGCTTCCCACGGCTCGGTAGCAATCTACCTTCAACTGTATTCTTTCTTTTGTTCCACTGCCTCTCTCCCAAGTCAGGAACCTGGGAGTCATTCCTGACTTTTCCTTTCTCTCTTAGGATACCATCTCCACATTTTTATAATTCCACTTTTTAGATTCTTTGTACTTAAAATGTTTTATGGCAGATACTACTATTCCAGCAGGTACTATGTTTATCATTTCTCATTTATTATTACACTCCTGCCCTGATAAGCAGACCTTTCCAGTACAGTCCCCAGGAAGATATTTCTAAAATGTATTTCATGCTTAAAACCTTCCCCTAGCAGCATGATCTCAGACTGGATCCTAGATTGGAGGTAGGGGATGATCCGCTATGAAGATCACTATTAGGATATCTGACAGGTAACAGAATTAAACCAACAATAGTACATGGTAGTTAGATAAGAGAAGGTTCTTGCTCTTAGAAAACACGGGAAAAAACAAAAAAGAAATTACAAATTAAACTAATTAGGGGAGAGTTAGGCAATAATTTAAGGAAAAAACCACAGGCTCTTTGACACCAAGCATAATCAAGCAAAGAAAAATGTACAGTTGGCAAAGGAGAGTAAAGAGTACAAGAGAATTAGTTCAAGATCATTTGATAGAAACATCTGAAAGCTTTCCATGTTTCCTTCCATGTTTAAGGTAAATGTCTAAACTCCTTAAATAGACTCCACAATCCATTTGCAGTCATCAAATAATAACTAATGCCCACTATACTCTTAACATTCTTCACACATGACTACAAATTACTGTGCACGTTGTTTGGTTCTGATGTGGTCTCTCTACTTTCTACACTTGCCTCACTGGCAAGGCATCTTAGCTGCTTCCCTCTTTCTGACCCCACTGGGGATCATGGACACATTTCTACCTCAGCCCCTAGCACCTCAGTGTACGTCTAGATACAAGCCTTCATGTGTATGCACACCCCCCCACACACACACACACATTGCTGGTTACTTTAGTATTTGCGTTTCAGTTCTACGGATTTATAGATAACAAAATAATAAAAGAGTACAGACTCTAGATTCAGCCTGGAGAGTTCTGACCTATGACTCTACAACAATTACTTAGTTTTAAGTCTCTGGGTCTGGACACTGCTGGTTTGTCAACTTGACACAAACTCCAGTTACCTGGGGAAAAGAGGAAACAGCAACTAAGGTATTGTCCCCATCAGAGTGGCCTGTGGGAATATCTGTAGGGTATTTTAATTAAAGATTGATGTAGGAGGGCCCAGCCCACTGTGAGTACCCCTGGCAAGTAGTCCTGGGTTGAACAGGAAAGCAAATGAAGGGGCTGGAGAGATGTCTCAGCAGTTAAGAGTGCTGGCTGCTCTTCCAGAGGACCTGGGTTCAATTCCAAGCAACCACATGAAAGCTCACAGTTGTCTGTAACGTAGTTCCTCTAGCCTCTGCAGGTACCAGGTACATATGCAGTGCACAGACATATATGCACACACACAAAAAAATTAAATAAAGGAAAAAAACAAACAAGCAAGCAAACAAAAAAGCAAATGGTGCAAGCCAGGAAGCACAGTCTCTGCTTCCGTTCCTGCCTCCAGATTCCTGCCATGAGTTCCTGCCCAGACTTCCTTCAGTGACAGACTGTGACCTGTGACCTGGAAGCTCTAAAATGAAACAAAACCTTCCCCCCAAGTTGGTTTTGATAGGTTTATATCACAGCAACAGAAAGTGAGCTAGGACACACACTGTATTTACTCAAAATAATACATCTATTACTGTTCTCATTTCCCTCACCTCTGGAAAAGCCTACAGTGAAGACAGCTTGAGATTTAAAATATTTGCAAATTACATACTTTTAGAAATGTTTTTCTTATCTCCCTAATGTCACTTCAATCAACCTCTTAAGGCATAGAAAAATCCATTTATTTTTCCACCAACTAGAGAAACCGCTTTCATATCAATTTCTCAATGTTTAAAAATATTTAATGTTAATGCTACTTTATGGTGGTTTTACACCTAGTCCATTTGTCAACTTCAAAAAAGGAAGAAAAGCAAGAGACTATCAAAATAAGGCAAAAATGTACTAAAACAGAGAATTCTAATACCAGGTTATCAAATGTTCGGATTACTGAAAACAATGAACTACTTCAGAATGTTGATTTAAAAAAAAATCCAAAAACAACCCATTAAAGAAACTTAATCCGCAAACTCTCACATGTGACCTATTTCCCTTTACTTATAACCCAAACTAGCAAAATTGCAAGGCAAGCTCTCCTTCTGGAGAGATAAGAGTATCTCACATAGGACAAAGGGAAAAAAAAAGTTTTTAAAGTCTATTGATGGAGGAAGGTCATTGGTTAATTAATAAAGAAACTGCTTGGCCCTGATAGGTTAGAACATAGGTGGGTGGAGTAAACAGAACGCTGGGAGGAAGAGGAAGTGAGGTAAGACGCCTCAGACAGACGCATGCCTCTCCTGTCCAGAGCAGACGCGATGCAGCCAGCCGCCAGGTCAGACATGCTGAATCCTTCCTGGTAAGACTGGTGCTACACAGATTACTAAATATGGGTTAGGCAATATTGTGAGAATTAGCCATTAAGAGGCTAGAACTAATGGGTCAAGCAGTGTTTAAAAGAATACAATTTGTGTGTTGTTATTTTGGGGCATAAGCTAGCCAGGCGGCTGGGAGCTGGGCGGCAGGAATACAGCCCACAGCTCCTTCAACAGTCTATGAAAAGGCATTGTCAATCAGAGCAATTTTTTCTTAGGAAACTGTAACAAACTGAATATTACATTATAAAAAAGGGAGAAGCATCATAAAAATTTCCTTACAATTAAAATATAATTTTACTCATGGATGAAAAAAAAACAGGAAATAAAAAGGACAAGACATGGATGCTCTTAAGTATGGTGGAAAAGAAAGTTTATTGTAGATTTAAAAAAGAGAATGTAGGTAAAAGCAGGAACAAGGACATCTGGGAACATCCAGAGTAGACTGGGGGGAGGGGGGGTTGCGTGCGTGCATGCGTGTGGGGGGGGGGGGTGTAGCCAGGAGGTCAAAGGTATAAAAAAAGGGGCAGGTAACCAAATTATGTAAATTATACAGGGAAGAGCCTCTGGGGGAAAGGCAGCCCAGCCCCTGGGCTGAAGAGTTCAGGGTAGAGGGTAGAGAATGTAATGGGTAGGGACTGAGGGATGCTAGGAGAACTGAGAAATATGTTAACTAGGCATCTCAGTCATGAACATAATCCTAGCACTTGGGAGTTAAGAGGCAGGACGACAAAATGTTCAAGGCCAGCCAACACTGTCTACCCAGGGGGTCTGAGTCTAAGGCTATCTCAAAACAAGCAAACCTACAAAGAGCAGAAGGTGGAAGGGAGAGAAACAGATGACAGTCTACGTCTAGAAAGAACATCAGCTTCATATAAGAGGCAGAGTGTGAATAAATAAGGCTAAAATGTTTTAAGCCATGTAAATTATCGTACTAAAGTTATTATTTATGGTAAGATTAACATATTGCATACATAAATCACACAGAATCATACATAAATGTTTATTCCCTACTCGGGTTCTCAAGAGTACACAGAACTAAGATATGGTTTTAGTTCAGGAATGGTAGGATAATGAAGATGGTGGGAACAGAAGGAGCCCACTGATTACCTTTCCTGCTTCAGGGCATATTCCAACATTTTGATCCTCCTCACTAGATCTTTCTTCAGATTTTCTTGACCTTTCCTCTCCCCCTGAAGGAAGGCAATCTGGGCCTGGAAGGGAGAGAAAGGCAAAACTCAGTTCAGAACAACATTTTAAAAACAACTTTTAGAACAGCATTAATACAATTCCTTTTCAAATCCGTCACAGTGCAAACTAAAGAAGTATTAGCTGAAAGGGGTAAGGTCTTAATTTGAAAACAATATCCACAAGAGACCTACGTGCAGTTTATTTCAGAAAGGGATATTGCCATGTGTGGTCCCCATCTTCCCTAAGGACCTACAAAACAACAAACAGGGTACAAAGTAGACATGCAGTTTGTCCAAGATATAAAATACCTTGGAAGATGTTTCATTTTTATAAAAAATGAAGGCAGGAAAGCAAAATGACCAGAATTCTTATAAATTCTTCCAAATTTAAGAGTTTCATTATTAAGACGAGAGTTAAATATCCTGGCATATGAGGGAGGAAAGACCCCCTCATGCTAGATCCCTCATTGAGGAGAGGACAGTACCTAGGGGTGGTGAGGAAGACAGTCACTTTGGGGTGGGCAGGCACTGGTAGGTCACCCAGACTTCAGTGGATAACCCCATACACATGGGCCTAGGGGCAGCACTAACGGTGTATTAACTCATACATGTGGGCCTATGGGCAGCACGGACCGGACTCTGTAGGTAAGACAGGGAGTTGTGAGGAAGACAAGAGATAAGATGGGGAAGAGTAGGGTGCTGGGGAGATGAAGGGAAGGAGTGAGTATGAACCAAGACACACTAAGTACACGTATGGAATTTCAGAAGTTTCCTGATATATCTAAATTTTATAAGAGAGTCCTTAACTTGGTCCTAGATTTACTCTACAAACAATAAATAGCTCTTTTCTCATATGTGAGAGAAAAGAGAGAGAGAATAGAAAAGGGACAATCAGATGCCGAGCCTCAGCACATTGCTCCTCCCTGAAGAGTGACAACAATTCAGCATTTTACCATGAGACAAATGACACACAACTTTCAGCTTCAGCAGGAAAGGGACAGGAAAGAGCAGCAGAAACAGAAAGACACTGAGGACTGAAATAACATCACTGCTTAAAAAACCACAAGCGCTGGACTACTAGCTTGTCCAAGCAGTTTGTAAGCTCTATAAAGGCAGGAAGGTGCTCATTTAAGGTGCGTCAGATAACCCCCAATTTACTACTTGCACATGCTCTTCTCACCCATTTCTACCACGGCAAGTCAGGGACAGACAGCAATGTTATCTGTGTATGTATGAACACTGCTTCCCATTCAAGAAAGAATGTCATACTTAAGGAAGACTTTAAAATACCCCTAAAGAATTTCGAGGGTGGTCCAACAATGGTTTAATAAATAAACCAATAAACTTAGTTCTATTTAATTTAAAGGAGACTCAGTTCTACTTATTTAGTACCATGATGAACATACATAAAATCTAATTTGCTACTCCTCATAACCTTGAATTATAAATAGGTACTATGATGTGTTTATTTTCATTTCAAAAAGCTCTTAAAATTTTATTTCAATTAAAAGGACATTCTCCTTATTAAAGTAATTAAGACTGGCAACAATTCAACTGTATATAGAAACAGGATCTCAAATTTAGATAAAAAGGGGAAAAGGCACTGAATATTCACAATTATCTGTCCACACCTCAAAGATCCTCATATGCTTTAAATGTATATATAAGGTGACATACATACAACAACGGCACATACAGTTCAAGCTGAAAAAAATGAAAGCTCGTCAGAAGATTATGTCAGCCCAATTCATTTGGCCAAGCAACCAGTGGCTTTGAAAGAGCAATGAGTACATTTTTAAAAAAAAAAGTGTTGTTAGTAAAAACAATAAACCTAATAAATGTAACCAAGCAAAGTAACAATAACATAAATCACCAATTTCATCCTCTATATTCTTTGGTTATTTCTGAACTTCTGACATGTCACTGATCCTGGGTAATTCTACAGTTCAACCTATAACATAAAGTCTGTACTGTGACTGAGTCTCCAACCCACTGGCAACTTGCCTGCCTTCCTACGACACTTACTTCCCTCGTCTATCAATTCACACCAGAGTCTAGTTAATAATCAAACAGAAAAACCTGTTAGTGTTACAGAAACTGGCAATGCATGCAAAGCAAACCTGCGAGAGTCGTGGAGCCACGGTGCTCCTCAAGCTCAGACATTTATAAGACATAAGGACGAAGGAGACACTGAGGAAATTCAACATTAGCGTCCTTTCGCGTCAGCCTTCTTGTCATCTTCAAATGAGTTAACTCGTAACGTCACAGAAAAACTGTTTCAGGTTGAAGAACTAAAGAGACCAGAAATCAAATGCAGTGTATGATTCTGAACTGTAATGGATTGTGCAGAGCTATTCAGACAGACAGTACAGGAAGAAGGGAGCCTGAGGATTAGAAAGTACTAGTATATCAGGGCTAACTTCCTGATATTGATGCTGTGTGTTACACAGGATAGTATTTCTTTGTACGAAATAAAACACTGAGGTATTCGGACTGAGACAATGAACTATCAGGCTAGCTGGCAACTAGCCCTTATAATTCAGGGAAAAACAAGTTCTTTGCAAGGTCCTCTCAACTTTTCTTTCAACTTAAGATTTCTGCCTGACTTTTTAAACCAACTGAGATACAATAACAACTTTGAAAGTAAAAGGTTCCAACTCAACCAAAATGCCAACAATATATACAACAGAAAAACCTAGGAGTACTGAAATAAAGTTAGAAGCAAAACAAAAAATACCCAATTCAACACAATCATTTACCAATGTGCTAGAGGTGCTGACAAAAGTTGTTTAATTAAGGAAAAATAAGTATAAAAGTAGAAAAAAGAAATATCATTTGCAAATTATATGGCTATTGGTGACGGGATAATCAATTGGTATTTGTGAGTTATTGTTTTTAGAAAATTATATTGGTATCGATTCTTGTATATTGATAGAAAGTTAAATTATATTGAATACTGTATGCAAATATGCTTCTACCTCAGTTTAAAACATTTTTTATGTATTGATATATATATTTACCATATTGCAATGTACATTTCTACCTCTAATTAAGATACTTATATATTGTTTATGTAATGATATACATTGTTTACATTTGGAGGTCACTGTCCTCATTTATTGCACAGTTTTTATTCTCTTAGTCTTCAAGTTAAATAGGTATCAAGAATTATAGATCAATAGTCATCTATGTTTGTCATATTTATATTTAGGCTAATCAGGTTCTTTAGATACATAGAGTTAATATTTAGTATAGATAGTATAATCTTCAACCTCTTCAAAGAGCTGTAGAAAATGGCCTTTAATCTAACATAGAGTTCCGTGGTAGTGAGACACAATCACTCCTGGCAACACCGCTCTACTCCGAGAGAATGTTGAGCACCAAAGACACTCCACTTGGAGCTTGTCTTCTTCTTGGCAGAACCGGCCTTTGAGCAAAGAAAAGCCCATACCTCAACCACTGACAGAGATACAGAGTATCCGTAAATGGATAAAAACAGGATTGTCATATTCTGCCAAGACAGGGTAAGATAGTTCTGAAAAGTTTCTTGCCTTTGAAAATGGTATGTCAGTTACGTTAGGCCTTAGCCAAAGTTGGTTGCCTCAACATTGCAAATGAGACTTTGGGTGATTGCCCAGGTAGTCAGTTGTCTCTGCCATTTGTTGCACATTTTGGAAGTTTCTCGTTTGTACTTCCCGGTTGCTCAAGTAATATTACTTCCCTTCTCAGATCTCTGATGGAGTTGTTTAGCCATGTGGGCAAGAAACTGCTCTTGCCTGGACTGTTGCACAAACTGGACACAGAGAACCCCCAGAGAAGAGGACTGCTGAACTTGCCTAAAGGTGAGATGATCCTTTGGGGTTCCTGACTCATGAAAGAGTCTGTGAGACATTCTGCAGGACACAAAAGAAAGTGACTGAACTGTCTTTGAAATTTTTCCACTTCATGGAAATGTCTGCTGGATACTATGGGCCTGTAGGCTGAAGATGGATGCCCCAATGGTACGAAAGAACTTTGGGTGACTGTCCAGGCAGTGAGATGTCTCTGTCATTTCTAGAGTTTGGAAGTTGCTTATTTCTTGTTTGCTTAGGTAATATTATATCCTTCTGGAGTCTTTGATGGAGTTGAAGAATAGATAGATAGTTATAGTTTTCCATTGTTATGATAAAAGATAAAATAGATATAAATATTGTAACTGTAATTCTTGCTTGATAACTGTTTTGTCATATGTAATTTTACTATGTTAAAGTTAAAGCCTTCCTTTTGGTTTAAACAGAAAAAGGGGAAATGATGTAGTAGTGTCTTCTATCTATCTGTTGCTTTCATTGGTTAATTAATAAAGAAAACTGCTTGGCCTGATAGGTCAGAACATAGGTAGGCGGGGAAGACAGAACAGAATTCGGGAGAAAGAAAGCAGAGTCAGGCAGACGCCATGGAGCCAGCCGCCAGGTCAGACATGCTGAATCTTTTCCGGTAAGCCACCACCTCGTGGTGCTACACAGATTACTAAATATGGGTTAAATCAAGACGTGAGAATTAGCCAATAAGAGGTTGAAACTAATGGGCCAGGCAGTGTTTAAATGAATACAATTTGTGCGTTGTTATTTCGGGGCATAAGCTACCCAGGTGGCCGGGAGCCGAGCGGCAGGAACACAGCCCGCTGTTCCTTCTCCATATGGGTGACTACCACAAAACTCCAAGAAAACAAACTTTAAAAATATTTGTGTTTTTTTTGTTGTTGTTGTTTGTTTTGGTTTTAGTTATAAATACTCTCCTAAGGGGAATCAAAAACAATGATATGAACTACTAAAAAAAAAAATCCATGTTCTTAAATAAAAACATTACAAGATTTTACTTCTCCCTAAATTAATCTTTAAATGTTTGGCAAGTCACCAGCAAATTAACGAAAATCTTAAAAAGTGAGACAATTCTAAAGTTCACATAGAAATAAGAAGTAAGCAATCAAAAATAAGCAACAAAATTACTTAAAAGCTCTAAAATACCTTAAATTTTATGTTTACTTA